GGTAATTAATACCACCTCGTTAGTATGCGATCAACCACCGCCGTATCTCGTAGTTTTGCACTTCCCATTATTCGTCGTTCCCTCGTCCCCGGCGATTTTCACGAAATTTGTTAAAACCCCTCCGTCCCCACGATGTAATTAATTGGTAATTATCGAGCACTTACGTAATTGCTACCGGTTGCTCGACGATCCTTAGACGAAAGGTATGATATGCAGCCTGTCCGCGGCGGAGAAATTTAACGTCCACTTCGGTGAAGTGGATGTCCGCTGTCGAGGGAAATTTAACGAATAACCAAAGACTGACACTGAAATTGCTCTTGCAAATGTCCACGATTGATTGCATTAGCAAAGAACAATTTTCCATAAACGTTCATTCGTTCTGGACAGTTTCGAAATGCATAAACGTTTTATTGGAAACATCATTTGATGTATTTAAATCATCACTGTGACCAGTACTAGGACATGTTAAGTGAATGAAAACTATTTTATAATTTATAATTTTTATTTATAATTTTTAATTTTTATTTATAATTTTTAATGATAAATTATTGATAATAATTAATGATTATTTATAATTTTTAATGATAAATTATTGATAATAATTAATGATTATTTATAATTTTTATTTTATCTAAAAATGAAAGGACAGACAATTATGGAACTCAAAATTCAAGTTTTAAGACCCGGTTTAAAAAACACTCATACATTAAAATGTAGTTTTTCATTTAATTAGGATATATATTTATATCGTAAACACTCATACATTAAAATGCAGTTTTTCATTTAATTAGGATATATATTTATATCGTAAACACTCATACATTAAAATGCAGTTTTTCATTTAATTAGGATATATATTTATATCGTAAACACTCATACATTAAAATGCAGTTTTTCATTTAATTAGGATATATATTTATATCGTAAACACTCATACATTAAAATGCAGTTTTTCATTTAATTAGGATATATATATTTATATCGTTACAAATTCAAAATAAATTGCTAATAAATAGTATTTGTGATCTACTATTAATTCGAAAGAATAATGTTATTTCACAAGAGGTAAAAAATGTTATAGACAACTCTTGTTGCATTCCTGATTAAAACCAAAGATCGTTGCACCTATTTTTATGGTATGTTTTGTATGTTTTGGATTTGATAAAGTCTCGTGCAGAGGAGTCTAAAGAGCATAACTCCGATGATGTAGGTAGCCTGGGCCAAGGTCCGTGGCTTCCACATGCGATCCATCGATTTGGAAATCGTCCATTCAGATAGTCCTGAACGATTTTAGCATAATAACAGGGGGCACCATCGTGTTGAAAGACGACGGTGCTAACAATCCTATCCTCGTTCAACCGAGGCCCAAGGAATTGCTGCACGTATTGTCCTGTCTGTTCGCCCCGCCTTATGAAATCTCCTAAACTTTTCTCCGATTTCATTACATTTTTACCAAAAAGATTTTACTCTAAATTCGAGACGTTCAATTAAATAAATTTAAATAGGATCATGCAATTTAACGCTAGAACTACCGGAAGTGGTCCAAATGATTTCTAATTTCTAATAAAAATTGTAAAATATTCGTTGAAAACATTTATCCATTTATTCCATTGCATTGTACATTTCCTCGAGTATCTATTTAATTTCTTTGGTACAAATAAATACGCTAAAATTGTCGATAGTTCTGGTGTTAAAATTATCTGAATTCGAAGTGTTGATCTCTTCGAGGATACTGACCCCTATGTTTATGTCTAATATTTACATTATTTTGAATATTACATCATAGTTAGATTTTTCAATGATGTCAGAAAATTGATGGACATTGTGGGTGAATGTTAACTTGCAATTTTGTTTATTAGGACAAAATAAGATTATATGGAATACAGTTTATTCACGGCCTCTTTTTTGTTTCGTTTAATAAATTCGACGAAAGTTTAAGCATTTTATCGAAACTTTTGTGAGTTGGTGTCGTCGTGGAAAACTATTCCACAGCAGCCAAGGTACGATATTCGATTTCGGTGGGTCAGTAACCGACTATCTACGGATCTTCGGTGCGTGGCCGAGACTAGAAGCCCGCGTCAAGTCACGTTAGGAATTCTTTTGCCCGTCGAAAGAATAATTCTGGATAGAATGAAGGCTCGGAATGGGCGTTCCTTCGTGCCCCGTGAAATGATAAAAACGCGATCGTAAGTGAGACACGGGCATAGGGTGGCCCTGGGGTGTTGCGGACCTCACAGCGAGATTTTATGGGTACCTATAAAAGGAGCATACCAGTCAGGACTTTAAACGATCGCCGTCTAGTTGCTTGGACCTTGTCCAATGGTTCCCTATATCATGCCAAGATAAATAACGCGGACAGGACGAACCGTGGAGATGCTTATCCCCTGTAACGAATGTATTGTGACGGCTGCACAGTTCACAATTCGTTAGCGATCATTCGACCGGACTCGTAAAGACAATATTTTAAACAACGTCGCGCGGTTTTACGTACAAGTCGGTCCCCAAGTAATCCGCGAGAATTCGTTCATCGTTTTGCATCCGTTAATAAATCTCGCGAACTTTTCTAACCGGTAAATTATCGCGCCATTCAGCCATCGAGGAATCGATCATTGAACGTAACGTAGTGTTTGCGAACTCAACGAGACAGGATGCCTTTGATTGCTAGACGTTGGATACTGATTGGTGGTTGCAACCATTACGAAAGGCGTTTATGGGCATAATATGTGCGTACATTTACGCGAATAGAATTATGCTGTTGGAGTACTAGTTTAAATTAATATATGATTTCTAACTCTCGCACGATGCCTGGACGCAAATGTTATACTCGGAGGGAGGGGAAAATTTGTCTACGACCTACATAGCTTGATCGATAGATTAGACGACCGGCGAACGATAGATCCAGATTCGAATCTCGGTCAAGTAATTTCAATGGCCGTTTCTCTTTACTGCGATCGGAATTCAATTTCGCTGACGTGACTTCTTTCTGTTTAACCCTTGGAAGACTTCTGAAGAATTTAGATGGAGATTTAGGGGACAAGACCCAAAGATTTTCATTTTTTTCAAGATGGAGTTTACGAAAAAATAGTTTTCTATTTAAATTATTCACAATTTTCTTTTCGTGCCCCCTACTTTGAAAAATACTACTCTACATAGCATATATTAGAGCCTTATAAATTCAATCTCGATTTCTTAAATAATTTTCTATTTTAATTATTCACATTTTTCTATGCAAACATTTTTTTCTGTCGTGCCCCCTACTTTGAGAAATATCTACATTGGTCAACCAAGACGAAAGCATACATTAGAGGATTACAAATTTTTTTGAAAATTCGAATATCGATGTTCTACTATAATTGTTAATTATACTAGAGCTTTGATCTCGATTTTTATAATAATTGCCTATTTAAATTATTGACATTTTTCTACGCAAACAATATTATTTTCATGCCCCCTACTTTGAAAACCACTACTCTACATAGCATATATTAGAGCCTTATAAATTCAATCTCGATTTCTTAAATAATTTTTTATTTTAATTATCCACATTTTTCTATGCAAACATTTTTTTTTGTCGTGCCCCCTACTTTGAAAAATATCTACATTGGTCAACCAAGACGAAAGCATACATTAGAGGATTACAAATTTTTTTGAAAATTCGAATATCGATGTTCTACTATAATTGTTAATTATACTAGAGCTTTGATCTCGATTTTTATAATAATTGCCTATTTAAATTATTGACATTTTTCTACGCAAACAATATTATTTTCATGCCCCCTGCTTTGAAAACCACTACTCTACATATAATATATTAGAGCCTTATAAATTCAATCACGATTTCTTAAATAATTTTCTATTTTAATTATTCACATTTTTCTATGCAAACATTTTTTTTTGTCGTGCCCCCTACTTTGAGAAATATCTGCATTGGTCAACCAAGACGAACGCATACATTAGAGGATTACAAATTTTTTTGAAAATTCGAATATCGATGCTCTGTAATTGTTAATTCTACACGACCTTCGATCTCGATTTTTAAAATAATTGCCTATTTAAATTATCCACATTTTTCTATGCAAACAATATTATTTTCGTGCCCCCTACTTTGAAAACCACTACTCTACATAGCATAAATTAGAGCCTTATAAATTCAATCTCGATTTCTTAAATAATTTTCTATTTTAATTATTCACATTTTTCTATGCAAATATTTTTTAACATCGTGCCCCCTACTTTGAGATAGATCTACATTGGTTAACCAAGACGAACGCATACATTAGAGGATTACAAATTTTTTTGAAAATTCGAATATCGATGCTCTATAATTGTTAATTCTACACGACCTTCGATCTCGATTTTTAAAATAATTTCGTATTTAAATTATTCACATTTTTCTACACAAACAATATTATTTTCGTGCCCTCTACTGTAAAAAACACTAATCTACATAGCATAGATTAGAGAGCATAGCTTAGGGGCTTACAAATTTTTTTTGAATTTGAATATGGATGCTCTACTATAATTGTTAATTACACTCGAGCTTTGATCTCGATTTTTAAAATAATTGCGTATTTAAATTATTCACATTTCTCTATGCAAACAATATTATTTTTGTGCCCCCTACTTTAAGAAATACCTACATTGATCGACCAAGACGGAAGCATACATCAGAGGTTTACAAATTTTTTTGGAATTCGAATATCGATGCACTATAATTGTTACGCGCGTTTCGATCTCGATTTTTAAAATAATTGCCTATTTAAATTATTGACATTTTTCTACACAAACAATATTATTTTCGTGCCCCCTACTTTGAAACCCACTAATCTACATAAAATAGTTTAGAGAGCATAGATCGAGGGTTTACAAATTTTTGTTTTTAATTTGAATATGGATGCTCTATTATAATTGTTAATTATGCTCGAGCTTCGATCTCGATTTTTACGGTATTGGTAGTATTTTCGACGCAGGCGCTTACATCAGACGATCTCTTTTATCAGGTACCAGACATAGGAGCCGAATTAACGGGCGGCTGTTATGGTTTCGCCGCGAAATATATGCATTGGCCCGAGGAGCTGCTCGTTGGCGGTGCTAAGCACAATAAGACCGGTCACTTGACCCGCGCAGCTGCACTCCAGACTGTTGTGCAGCTAATGGGAGAGCGAGAGCTTTACGATTTCTTCGCCGGCACCTACAAGGTACACCATATCGACTGGTCCCAGGAGAAGGCGTCTCAGGTGCTCGAGATCTGGCAGCGGGCGTTCAGCAATCAGGTGAAAAAGCATCTGGAGGCGAACGGCTCCGCGCCGTACAATTTGTACGCGTTCAGCACGACAACAATGAACGACATACTTGGAAAGTACAGCGAGGTGTCCATCATGAAGATCGCCATTGGGTGCGCACTGATGGTTAGTAAAAAGTTCCTGGGAACGTTGCACGCGGTTTGCTGAATCGAAATGACGGCCATGCAAATTACAAGCATTGCTCTTTCTGACGTTTCGAGTTCAACGCAAAAAGCAACATATGCACTGCTTTGAACGATTAGAGAATCAGAAAGGTCTTTTGGACAGTCGAGGAAATAGATTTTCTAATTATTTTTAGCAGTGTCTATTAATTTCTTTTTTATTGTCATCTGTGATGCTGCATCATAAGCTTAAATTGAATGATAGATGTCCAATAATTCAGCAAACATATTTAATTTTCTAAGCACTTATACTCAAATTTGATAAGAATCTTGTAACATATGTGCTGCTTCAAATGATTAGATCATGTTTTTTGAAAGGTTGAAGAAAAATATTTTGTTGAATTTTGCGCTTGTACAGGAATATTCTCCAATTATTTTTAGCAGTGTCTGTTAATTTCTTTTTAATTGTCAATAGAAATATTTGTATTGTAAACTAACACTGCTAATGTTACTTGTATCAAAGGGGTCGAAATTACTTGTTTCAAGCCAGAGATACAGTATGTGATGCATCAGAAGCTTAAATTGAATGATAGGTGTCCTATAATCTAACTGAAACCTCACCCACTTCATAAAAACATTAATATGTTTCCATTAAAAATAATTTTTATTATACATGACCTACTCTTAAGGTGAAAGGAAACTACTATAAAAATTTTGAAAATAAATCTCCGTTGCAGCTACTGTACGCCGGCGTGGTGCTTCTTCGATGGAAGGATCCAGTGCGTTCCCAAGCTGGTGTGGGTATAGCGGGCGTGATGTTGATCTGCGCGACGGTGGCAGCTGGTTTGGGGTTCTGCGCCCTACTGGGTATCCCCTTCAACGCGGCTACCACTCAGATAGTCCCGTTCCTGGCACTCGGGCTCGGTGTGCACGACATGTTCCTGCTGACGCACACGTACGCCGAGCTGTCGGTGAACGAGGTGCCCAGCGGTGAACAGACGGGGGTGGTTCTCAAGAGGACCGGCCTCTCCGTTCTCCTGGCAGGTATCTGCAACGTCTCGGCGTTCTTCGCGGCGGCGCTGATCCCGATCCCGGCGCTGCGCGTGTTCTGCCTGCAAGCTGGCGTCCTGTTGCTGTTCAATCTGGCCGCGATGCTGCTGGTGTTCCCGGCCATGGTCAGCCTGGACCTGAGGAGACGTCGTTCGGGACGCTCGGACATATTCTGCTGCTGTTTGCCGTCGAACGCCAGCAGGAACAAGTACGCGAACAGGACGAGCAACGGCACCGCGAAGCAGACGGTGACCAGGGCGATACCGCCGGAGCGTCGCGAGACCTGCACGCAGATACTGACGTCGCAGAACGCGCAGAACGAGTCCTGGGTGGGCGGGAACATCGACGTGGACACGGAGAAGCAGTGCAACGAGGTGGACACCCTGACGGGATGCAGCCAGGACGACTGCCTGAGCTTCTCGTTGACTCAGCTGGCCGCGAGGCACTACGCGCCGTTCGTCACCAGGCCAGCGACCAAGGTCTTCGGTATGATGATACTGATCGCGGTTTTAGCCGGAAGCGTCTGGCAAGCCATCAAGGTCAACGACGGCCTGGAGTTGACCGACCTGGTGCCGCAGAACTCCAACGAGCACGCGTTCCTCGCTGCGCAGTCGAAGCATTTCGGGTTCTACAACATGTACGCGGTGACCGGTGGCGATTTCGAGTACCCGAACAATCAGAAGCTGCTGTACGAGTACCACGAGGCGTACATGAGGATAAAGAACGTGATCAAGAACGACAACGGCGGTCTGCCGGAGTTTTGGCTGAGTTTGTTCAGGGACTGGCTGAGGGGGCTGCAGATCGCATTCGATAAGGACTACGGGAACGGCTGCATCACGCAGGAAAGGTGGTACAAGAACGCCAGCGACGAGGCGATCCTGGCTTACAAGCTGCTGGTGCAGACCGGCCACGTTGATAATCCCATCGATAAGTCGCTGGTTACTCAGGTCAGGCTGGTGGACTCCGAGGGTATCATCAATCCTCGAGCGTTTTACAATTATTTGAGCGCATGGGTGTCCAACGACGTGCTGGCCTACGGTGCCTCGCAGGCGAACCTGAGGCCGGAGCCGCGACAGTGGATCTACACCAACGATCACGAGCTCAAGATACCGAAGAGCAATCCGCTGACCTACGCCCAGATGCCGTTCTACTTGCACAAGCTAGCCAACACGCAGGAGATCACCGAGCTGATCGATAGCGTGAGGAAGCTGTGCAGGAGGTTCGAGGAACGGGGACTGCCGAACTTCCCATCCGGCATACCGTTCCTGTTTTGGGAACAGTACATGGACCTGAGGAGCTGCCTGGGCATCGCTTTGTTGGCTGCACTGGCGGCCAGCGTCGCCGTAGTCGGTATACTGTTGCTGAACCTCTGGGCGGCTCTGTTGGTCGGCTCTTCCCTCGCCGCTGTCGTGCTACAACTTCTTGGAATTATGGGCCTCTCCGACATCAAACTGAGCGCCGTTCCAGCCGTTCTCTTGGTTGTCAGCGTCGGGATCGCCGTGCACTTTACGGTGCATATTTGTCTGGTGGGTATAAAGGACGCGGACTAACGACCACGACATGGCCCGAACGAGCGCTTCTTTTTTAACTGGACCGGTCTCAACTTGTACAGACCAGTGAGCATAAGCCGTATCTGTTCATTGTGTGGTGAAATGTTATACTAAATAGTCGGGATTCCAACGACTTCTAGAAGCTCTAAGAATTCATGTCGTTTCTTGGATTTCCTTTTTCAAATTGTTTGTCGATTCTTCAATCTCTCTTTCAAGTCTGCAATGTATAAGAATTAAGAAACAATATTCACATTAATTGTATTTAATTTTACCACAGAAACATGTTTAAATTAGTGTAGTAAGTAGTAGTAGCAATAGCAATAGTAGTTGTCTCATAACAGTCTTTTTTTCTTTTAATTATAATAGCTGCAAATGCTGTTAATAGTCTATAATCTTTGTTGTACCTATCGATATCTTCAATTTGAATCCAGTTCCATTGAAAAAGTGCTCCCACGGACCGTCGACTAAGTCACGAATTTAATCATCCAACGCATCATCCAATGCAGTCTGTTTATAGTTTCCTTATCATTGCAGAGCTTCATCACCAGTATCGGGAGCAGGGATCGAAGGATTCGTTTAGCTCTGGAGCACATGTACGCGCCAGTAATACACGGGGCGGTGACAACATTGCTGGCCATTGTCATGTTAGCCTTCTCCGAGTTCGACTTCATCGTTCGATACTTTTTCCTAGTGTTGATCTGTCTGATCGGCATTGGGCTGGTGAACGGGCTGTTCTTCTTTCCCATTTTGCTGTCTTTGATTGGCCCGTCGCCGGAAGTGATACCCAACGATCATCCGGATCGTATTTCAACGCCGACGCCGCCCGCCTCGCCGATCGTCAGAAGATCGAAGCCGCCAACGCCACCCAGAAGATCCTACAAAATTGATAACGCCAGGCTGCACGCCGAGCCTTCTCTGACGACGATTACCGAGGAACCCAATTCCTGGCACAGCACGCAAGAGTCTTGTATCATCGTTCAACCGGAGTTGAAGGTTGAGACAACGTCCACGTGCGGTAATCAGGTACGCTGCGAACCGAACAAACAAGATCCGAAGAAAGCTTTACTCCTCTTCGTTATTTTCATGGAATAAAATTTTCTTTTTGTATTGAGAGTGTCTTGATATCATCTGCTACACGCTTCCTATCTTTAACCGCTTTACGCTCGAATCGTACGTTAACTTGTTCAACCTGTACTCGAAATTCACGAAGCATGATTAACGCGTGTGATTTTGTTTTGACTAACAGAACTGTAGCGGATCAGATACAAGTGGGTCTAGTCGAATGTCACCAGTGACGTCAACATCTCATATCACAACTAAGGTCACTGCGACGGCTAATATAAAGGTCGAAGTCCATACACCGTTGACCAGTGAGTATCCACTCCGATGTCGAAAATCAATTACTCTTATCGTGCAATTAAAAGAACTGCGCAGACAGTAACATCACAGGATCAACTTAGAAATTCAAAGAGTCCTGAAACACGTGGTGTACTATGGTTCTTTTTTTGCTATGTACTGATTTCTGTGTGATATTATTGTAGGTACAGTGGATCGCAGCGAGAAATGCAGGCACACGACTTCCAGTAGCCGAAGGAGCTCGCGCTGCAGTGCGAACGTTAATGCTGGGGAGTCTTCCGGTTCCGGTTCTGAGCCGGATTCAGACTCTAACCCACACAAACACTAATGGCAAGTACCGGGGGGACCGGCAGCTGCTGCTCAAGTACCATGCAAAGCGGGAACATACAGAAGGCTGACTAGGATAGATTTATAGCTCTTTTCCTCTTTCCTTTAGTAACTTATAGCGATGTGCGGATACCCAAATTTTATAAATACCAACAGCTCTGTTCGAGGTAGGTTCGCATCAAGTTTAAATACTCAACTATTTCATCACATTCAGTGTCTTACATATCGAATATACAAAACAAGAATCTACAGAACTGAGAAAAATTTTAATGGGAGATTCTGGGGGCCAAAATAAGACGAAAATCAAGAATACCAATTTGTCGATCGAGGCTTCGTTGAACAGTTATTAACGTTCAAAGTTCCGCCTGTAGAACCACTATCGCGCGTGCGCAGTTGCTCGAAGATTGCCGCGTTCTACAGGCGGAACTTCAAACGTTGATAACTTTTTAACGAAGCCTCCATTAACAAATTGGTACTCTTGATTTTCGTCTTATTTTGACCTCCGGAATCTCCCATTAAAATTTTTCCCCGATTAAAAGAAATTTGCGAACGAATCTTGAATAGCGCGTGAAACTAAAGTTCCCTAAGAAATGCCAACGATCAGAGTTTATCGGAGTACTCTCGCATCGCTGAGAACGCAACGTGCTTATTTTGAATTTTAAAAACAAAAGTATTATGTATACTCAGAAAAATATTTCTTTATGCTCACTCACCGAACGAACGCGTGCAGTGAACGTTGTATATAAATGTTCTCAAAGACGCATTTATATTACCTATCATACATTCAACTCAAAGTACGAATGGAGCGTGTGTGCCTCATTTCCCTATTCCTACCGTATTGAATGTATGATAATTATTGGGATAAATGATAACGTGCGATATTTTTAATGAAACGACTTAAGAGCACGTCAAAGAAGATGCTTTACTATGCTCTGTGGTATACGACAGTTTCCATGAAACTATAAGGATATTATTTAGCAAAGTAGAAAAAATTTAATTATCCGTTCTATGTCTGTTGATAATACGGCGGCGAAAATTATGAAACGCAAAGTGATCCGGACGTTTGTATAATATTTTCTAGCGGTTTTGTCGTGCGGTCCGTTAAACGAAATAAATATATGGGTATTAACATTTGTTCGAAATGTTAAGTTTATCGAATGTGCGAGACTTTATCGAGATGTTTTCTTCTAGAAAATACGAATAGCATTGTACGCATAATGTGTGCACTGAGGTTTCCGCGGACGATGAAGCGTCATGTTTTTGGGTGAATAAAATGCATTTAGTGAACCATTTGTACCTATTTTGGGTACTTGGATGGCTGAAGATTTTCAGATTACGTTTACGTAATGCTGTTAGAGATTAACTTCTTCTAATTTAGAAGTAATTACGAAAATGTAGACTTTTAACGACATTTTTTGTAATGACTACAATGTGGTGCCTTGAGAAAAAGAGTATAAAAATTTTTGAATAACTACTATTTATTATATGCTAACAGTAACATGCAGTGTGTATATGACTCGAGCGATATTGAATCTAAAATCTATTTATTATTTATTTTATATCTTCACTTTGATATCACGACTATTTAAAGCGATACGTTTTGTACAATGCCTATTTCATATAATAATTTGTAAAAAAATACTTAATTATTTATGTCACGCTATATAATATTTTTATAGAAAATCGTTACTTAATTTAATAAAGTTAAGTCAATCTATCTTGACACGTACCTCTAATGTAAAAAGGTGTAATATATTATTCCACAACTAATATCTACGAGTATATTTTGATAAGTATGACGCAGAAATAATGTACAATAAGAGAAATATTTTTATGTAAAGTCAATTTGTAAACATAACGAACGCAGACACGGTACTTAACATGTTAAACGCCCACGTGTCCCGTAAATGGTGAATTTATTTTAATAACGTTTTTTACTTCATGCAATTTGCAAAGTTTATAAACAAAATTCAATCCTTTTTCCTTAACCACATTAATTTTTATAAAATATCGACAGCGATTGATTACTGTAAACTTTAACTGTTGTACAAAATCACAGATGGCGTTTAACATGTTAATAAAAAAGTTGCTCTATAATAGGTGTGGAATTTTTATACAAAAAGTATATTAAAAAACGAATAGTCAATGTACCTCCACTGTACATGCCAAATTTTATTATGTATTATCTGATTATACCAATTTCGATAAAAAAAATTCGTATGCCCTCTAAACGTAACTCGAAACACAAAGCCAGTAATTTTTCCTGATGCTAGGTTTCAGCGGGAGGTGTAAAAAATTACGTTACTATTACCTTTAATATTGTAGAAGCTAATTATTTTTATGTACTGAATATAGAAGCAATTAATTGTATGATTTATAATATTCATTTGTACATAAATATAATGATGATATTGTAATAATTTGAAGTATATGTTATTTTTCTTTTCAATTTCCTCGTTGCTCTCAAATCGTAATAAAAAAAAACATTATTAAAAATTTTGTTTACGATAATACACGTTTTAAGACTCCCTGATCGTATTTTAACTATTGGAAAAAAAGAAACTCTTTTTACTATTCCTATGTATGACCGTACATATGTATACAATTATTAGTGAGCTTCTGTATTTCTGTAGAAAGAATATTTCGTTATTTTATTGTCATTGTGGTAATTGGGTTATGTGTACCTCCATAGGCCAAAAAGTAGAAATGCCTGAGCAGTCGAGAATGTCGAGATTTGAAATCGTATGCCATTGTGGCATCGGATTTCAGTTGTTTCGATAACGAAAAGAAAAGGCTCATTTTTGTCTTCTCTCTCGATTTCCTCGAGATGGTGATGAAACTCTACAAGCTCACGTATACGTTAGGCATAGTACCTAACCTGCATGTAGTATCCAACCTGATAACATTGCCCTCCATAAGGTAGTGGGGTGAACTATCGATAGTCAGCACTGTCGATACTTTCCGATAGTTTGCAAAAATGATCGTCACCGATAGTACTATCGATAGTTCTCCATCTCTAGTAGGTATTCATTTCAGTTCGTTCCGAACGTGGGTGCTCCCACTTTTCCTTATGAAAATACTAACCACATGTAGCAGTAGTACTTAATAATTTTCTAATATTAATTTCTTGCAAAGGTGAGACGATTTTTGATATTTTAGAAATTATTTCTCCGTCTAATGAATCGAATAGGACAGAGAGAGAGGAGAGTGCGGCCGATGAAGTTGAATTATTTTCACGAACTAATTTTCTTTTCCCATTTGAATTCGATGTATTTCAATGAGAATAAAATAATGTGTGAAATATCAGCTGTAATAAATGAAATGTTCGATCATATCGAGGCAAGGCAACAATGAATGTGATATTTTAATCGTTGCGTATGGTTCAAGTTTCCATAAGAGAACTCGTACAATTTGCGGTATGTTTCGCTCCAGGAAATCAATATTTGCAAGACTTTGTAATCTTATTTCGTTTCATGGCTCGTAGGCATCCCGACGTGTCGTAAACGTCACCAATTATCACGTTGGTTACGATCGTTGAAGTTTCGTTCAATATTACGCGCCTATTTTATATTTGATTTTTCTATATTGATAATATTTCCGGCATTTTTGATCAGTCGTTTTCAGTTCTTCACAATTTCGTTTCCATCGTTGAGTGGAAGTAACTGCGCGATCGTTCGCAAAAATGTTGATAAACGTCTACGTCTATAATTTTCCTCCGTTTTTAAAGTGTCTATTTAAAATATAACAACCTGTGAATATCATGCACTATTTTTAAATTTAAAGTAATAACTTCTAGTTGATAAGAGACATTTTTTTTTTAAATATGATTTCATTTTCGTTGATTAGAAGCATTACAATAGGTATGAAAAAAATGATTTGGTTCCACTAAATCGAATTCTTGTCTTATATAGATTCTATGTAATATTAAGTTTAACAATAAATATATAAATCTATGGTAATATAATGGTTATTTTTAGGTGCTCGTAATATGTTTCACAAAGATCCCCGTCCATTAATACTGTGCGGTCCATCTGGAAGCGGGAAAAGTACATTAATAAAACAATTATTCGAGGAATTCCCAGATAAATTTGGATATTCCATTTCACATACAAGCAGACAGCCCAGGCCGGGCGAGATAGATGGACAACATTATTATTTTACGACTAAAGAGAAGATGCAGAAAGAGATAGAGCAGGGTGAATTCATCGAAACTGCTACCTACAGCGGAAATTTATATGGCACTAGGTGACTATAGATTTTAAATTACAATTTTCTAATAATTCTTACAATGTTTGTTTCAATTATAAGAGTACTTTGTTTTCAGTAAACGTGCGGTGGAAGATGTACAGAAAGCAGGCAAAATGTGCATATTAGATATCGATATGCAAGGTGTGAAACAAATTAAACAAAGTTCCCTTAATCCTCTGTACGTATTTATTAAGCCACCATCCTTGAACGAATTAGAGAAAAGATTAAGAGACAGGCAAACCGAAACGGAAGATTCTTTACAGCGTAGATTATCTGTCGCTAGAACCGAAATAGAATATGGTACGAGTTCCCTAAAAAAAACTATGATTAATAGTTATTTGTAAACATTAATCTATACTAATATTTTAGGTGAACAGCTTGGTAATTTTGATATGGTGATCGAAAACGATGACTTGCCTAAGGCTTATAACAAGCTACGAGAGTTTATACTCTCAAACTTAGGACAATGTAAAACAGGTACGTCATGGAATTTGTATACTAGCGTTTACATGCTTTGTACATCATTTATTATTATCTATATTTTTAATACTTTACAGAATGCTAAACAAATGCTTCCTAAGGATGTGTACTAACTGGAAACTGTAGTATAATCATTTATCATGTGATTTATAATAATAGATAATTATTAGATAATGAAAAGTGCATGGCAAACTCATGTCTAACGATCGAAATACTAGAATCGAGAATAAACTTAGATAAATAATTTTTTATACTGCAGTAAGTTGAGTTTAATATTGGAAAGTAAATATAGAAAAAGATGCTTTAAATTTTTTATGCGTATAATAAGAATAACTTAGTATTACTTCGCTCGATTAAAAGTTTTTCACGCAATATGTTTGTTTGATGCCTTTAGAGGAAGAGAATTTATTTTTACATTTACAAGTGATAGAATGTGGGTAGAAGTTAGTATCGTGCGGTTACCCGACGTGTTGGTTTCGGGTCGGGTATTTTTCTCAGTTTCAGGCGGGGAACCTAAAAATTTATAACATTTAAGTATCTGAATCTGAAAGTTGAACAATTATGTTTTCTTCATATTAATTTAAATAAGGTTTAAGTGCATGTTTGGGTTTCCTACCCGACCCGAGGCTCGGTTACCTGCACATTTCCCTAGTAAAGGTGTAAGTTGTACCTAACTTTGACGAAACTTTCACTTTGTCGCAGAGTAATCGAATAATTTAACACAACATACGGTGTTAAACAGATGTAGATATTTATGACGAAACTAAAACTGTTAGTTATTATTCGCATGACTAAGAGTGTTCGGAAATTATACGAAATATTGTTCCCTTAAAAGTTTGATCGTTTCTTACTAATTCTTACTAATTTTACTGCCACTTATACTTAATTCGCATTAAATAAGTATGTGCATGTTGTACGATAATGCAACAAGCTTTGACTTGTTTTCATTTTTGGTAATGGTTAACGAGAGCGTGAAATGGTTGTAGAAAAAAGGATATCTTAATGTATCTGTGGGGAGAACCGTCAATTTGTGTGGAAACAGATTTTAGAACGGATTAGATATCCAAAAGTAAAAAAAGTGGAGAATTAAATATAATATTCTAGATGTAGCTAACTGAGATTATTCACCAAACGAAGTTGTGTTCCAATAGCGTAGGTTACTTATAAAGTACTTGTGATTTTGTCCTCGTACTTGTCTTTATATTAACAGACATACCATTAATTACGTCATTTCAGAATCAATTCACAAATTCATTTTTTGCCTCATCGAAGTGAAAGGAGAAAGTATCGCGCTGACATTCCTATATAAAGGGTCTCATATATATTTTGTTCATTCCATTAAGGAAAATCGCGTTCGAAACTTAAAACGAATGTACTCGCATATTTTGAAAGAATAATCATCGTTTCATCATAATCATTTTTATATCATTATTTTCATTGTTTCGTTCATCGAACTTGAGCATGTTGTTGCTTCCACGATCGTGAAAAGTAAATATTTTCCTATACATGGTTATTACTTGTTAATACATGTATGGTTAATTTGTATAGTGATAATGTAATATTTAAATAGACAAAATGTAGTGACATATGTACATGTTGTTATAGAAAGTTATACTATTGTTGTAACATACTATATTGAATAAATATTTTAAATGGTACATCATTCTTATAAATTGTTCTTAACAAACAAAATAAGCAACGTTTAATCAACTAAATTATTTTCGAATATCCCGTAACGTTTGTAAATTCTAGATTTAATATGCGTGTAGTGTTTTGTAAAATGTAGATGAATTGAACGCCTTTGAAGTAATAAACGACTAACATGTGCAACATAAAAACTATTACATCCGGAAACAAGTCGGATACGACAAATGTTTCGTAAATTTTCAATAATAAATTCGCGAGACCAGAAAGATCTCAGTGAAGATCCCGATCTGCAAAAGGTAAACTTTATTCTGTTTTAATACCAACTTTGAATTATTCACGATTGATGACGTCGAGAGTAGTCGCGTTTCGGCCATTCCCCGTGATGATGACGAGTCTTGTGTTTGGGCACCTCGCTGATTTCGATGGACGCTACCTTCACGTCTTTGTCCTCCTGCGTCTTCTTCATTTCCTCTCGAATGATATTGTCCCCATAATTTCTAGGCATAGTCTCTTTCGCGGTTTCCTTCGCCTCGGACACGACGCGATCTTTATTCTCTAAAGACACGATCGGTTTCTTCGAGAAAATATAATTAATGACCTGAGGTCGAGGCGCGAATATATTCTCCGATGGATAAGGATCGACGATCGATTTAGGATTTTCTGCATCCTTCATCAAAGGTGCATTAGCCTCTTTGGCGCCCAAAACTTGTACGATTTCCTGTTTGGAAGGCGATTGGTTCTGGTATCGAATCGATTCGAGAGTTCCCAAAGAATTTTTGCCAGCTGTGTCTCGTGCGGTCAATCTTCTCATCGCATTCGGAATCCTTTGATCGTCGGACGATCGAATTCGTCCTGACAAATCCGACGGTTCCTCGCGAACTTCCTCGTACAATTCCCGCCTAAAATCACGGCCATCTTTGAAGGCGTCCGGTCCAATTCCGCGGTCTGATTGTTCGATTCCGTATCTCGGGTCAGGGACGACTATTTGTCGACGATATATGGGATCCTGGTACCTGGCACGATCCAAATAACTCTCGAGGGTGTTCCAGTTCTCTAGGTCCCGGGAAATCGCTCTTCTGGCCAGACTGGAGATTTCCTTTATGTCCAAAGGTTGCTCGTTCGCCCGTGGCGGGAAACGATCGTCTCGTGCGTCCCGTGGAACACTTCCCGCCAAATTCTGTCGATTGTCCAGTTGAACGATGTTGTTCGAGTAGGCGAGGCGTTGGGAAGGTATTTGATAGCTCTTTTCCAAGACTGCCCCTCGGTCGAAATAACGTTTCTCTTGATAATTGCCACGGAGTTCGTCGTTGCTGTCCGGATAATAGGCTTCGTAGAACACTGGCCCCCTGTCGAGATCGTAGCTCTCGTAGCTAGGGGAGGAAGAATATGAGGTTAGGTCTTAATTTACGGGATTTGGATTAGGTCGTTATTTACACAGTTACTTTCGAAATTTAATATGTATATTTCTACGTATCTTTAACGTAAACTGTAGTAATAAAGGCATTTAATGAAAATAAATTAAGAGTTGATAAGTGGTTAAAATGCTGCTTATGAATCTAACCTTAACTAATGTAGCTAGGGGAGGAAGAGTATGAGGTTAGGTCTTAATTTACGGGATTTGGATTAGGTCGTTATTTACACTGTTACTTTCGAAATTTAATATGTATATTTCTACGTATCTTTAACGTAAACTGTAGTAATAAAGGCATTTAACGAAAATAAATTAAGAGTTGATAAGTGGTTAAAATGCTGCTCATGAATCTAACCTTAACTATTGTAGCTAAGGGAGGAAGAATATGAGATTAGGTCTTAATTTACGGGATTTGGATTAGGTCGTTATTTACACAGTTCCTTTCGAAATTTAGTATGTATGTAATATGTATATTTCTACGTATCTTTAACGTAAATAAATTAAGAGTTGATAAGTGGTTAAAATGCTGCTTATGAATCTAACCTTAACTGTCGTAGCTAAGGGAGGAAGAATATGAGATTAGGTCTTAATTTACGGGATTTGGATTAGGTCGTTATTTACACAGTTACTTTCGAAATTTAGTATGTATGTAATATGTGTATTTTTACGTATCTTTAACGTAAATTGTAATGTGTAATAAAGGCATTTAACGAAAATAAATTAAGAGTTGATAAGTGGTTAAAATGCTGCTCATGAATCTAACCTTAACTATTGTAGCTAAGGGAGGAAGAATATGAGATTAGGTCTTAATTTACGGGATTTGGATTAGGTCGTTATTTACACAGTTCCTTTCGAAATTTAGTATGTATGTAATATGTGTATTTTTACGTATCTTTAACGTAAATTGTAATGTGTAATAAAGGCATTTAACGAAAATAAATTAAGAGCTGATGCGTGGTTGAAATCTAACCTTAACTATTCATCATCCTCTGTCACCATAACTGACTCTTTATTCCCAACGTGGCAAAAACTGAATGCCGAGTATGAAATTTCGTCACGTTCTCCGTGCAAATATCCACTTTCACGGTATTATTTTTCTCGTTATTAAAACAATTCTCCGCGAGGAATTACTTTTTCCCTCGAGAAGGAACTATATACAGAATACTTCTTCAGAATTCATAATCAGATTGAGACGAGCGATCTCGAATTCTTATACAAGTGACAATTATAAAACCTCATAAACTATAACTAGTCTGTTTTAATCGAATCAATGGAATTAATTATTCTTTAATTTCTTCAATTTCATTGGAAAGGGAAAATATATTTCTATTACAAATTTTCTATTATTGCTTCCGTGGATCGATTATAGGAAAATTCGTTTATTGGAAATGTATTTTTGTTCCTCTATTTCGAGCAATCAACGTTCTACTGTACCTTGGTTCCCCTCTCTGTTTGCGTGGTGTTTAAAACACAAAAGTAGAAATTTAATTACTTACCGGTGAATATCGGAATTCCACGCGAGAACCGATGATATTCCTAGCAGAAAAAGAGACGATTAATTAAGTGGTATTTTTATAGCTGCTGATTTCAAGCTTTCGGAGTGTGGGTGGAGGTACGATCTCAAGTGGAATGCACTTGACGTATTCGATTCAAGTGTAATTAACTGCAATTAGATTGAAATATTCGCGCGGTTTTATTTGGAATTTATTTCGTCGCGTTTCGATCGTGCACGAAAAATTGCATAGCTCGACGTGAGAAATGCTATTCAAATTTACAAATGACAACAATTTATCGAACATCTCGTTATTAATAATGTTTCAGAGACATCGAGGCGAATTTCTTTTTTCTTTAATAAGATATTATCAGAATATTTTCTTCAGTTCCATAGAACGAAGATCACTTTTAATACGAATTCTATAAACTACGCCAAATAATTATTTAAAGTCACAAATATTTGGTATAGTACGATCGATATTTACATAGTGTGATTCGTATCGGAAAATTGGAAAATATCAACGTTCGTGAATTAATATTAATTATTGAATTTCAGAATTTAAAACGAAACACTAGCGTTCAGGGTCGCCTTCGTGTTTTTTTTTCGCTGACAAATCGAACACGAGGATGGGAGACGTAAAGTTAGATGTGAATTAGGTACGTACCTATCGAAATTGTTATCGCTATCGTTGGTAGCAGACAATCTTTAAGAGCCATGATCCTATCTTGTAGCAACGACAACTGAGCTTCTACGAGGGACGAGCACGCGTATTTTCAGATGTCCCTAAAATAAACCACCATTTCCTACGGGCCTCGCTGACTAATTCTCACGTAGAAACCGGCGCTGGAAAACTCACCGATGCACACCGCGAATATGGCTCGATAATACGCGAAAAATATCATCGACAATAATTAATGACGATCGCTTCCATAACTGTTCGAACGTCTCGTTCGAAAAGCAATTTTATCCGCGATACGGTTTCTCGATCGATTTGATCAATTTATCGAAAAGTAAATGATTGAATGGAACGTCTCCTCGTTACATTTTCAGCTCTCAAACGTACGAATAACTGATTCACTGTGGCGCGTATAAGCTTTTATATTCAAGCAACGATAAATCTGTCGTTTGCTGAATCAATTGTTTTCTCGTCCTTCCTAATAACACATACATTTTAATGGGAGATTCTAAAGGCCAAAATAAAACGAAAATCAAGAATATCAATTTCTTGACTGAGGCTTCGTTAAAAAGTTATTAAAAAATTAAATTAAAGAATTTCAAATCATTCTGAAAAAATTATTTGCGATTAGGGGGGTCAATTACAATCATTTTTGGTCAATAGACATACCCCCGAAATCCTACCCACTTTTGAGAAAAAAATTCGAGAAGGTATACAATTTTTCGACAAAATTAAAAAATTCGAATCGTTCTAAAAAAATTACTTTTGGTTGCTAGGGTAAATTATAATCATTTTTGGTGAATACACATAGTTTCGAATTCCTACGCGTTTTCGAGAAAAAAATTCGAGTAGGTATGAAATTTTTCGACAAAATTAAAAAATTTCAAATTGTTCTAAAAAAATTACTTTTGATTGCTAGGGTCAATTATAATCATTTTTGGTGAATAGACATACCCCCGAAATCCTACCCACTTTCTAGAAAAAAATTCGAGAAGGTATGGAGTTTTTCGTCAAAATTAAAAAATTTCAAATCGTTCTGGAAAAATTATTTTCGGTTACGGGGGTTAATTACAATTATTTTTTGTCAATAGACATACCCCTGAAATCCTACGCATTTTCGAGAAAAAAATTCAGTAATTGCTTAAATGTTTCGATGAAAAAAAAATTTTCGAATTGTTCTGGAAAAATTATTTTCGGTTATGAGGGTCAATTACAATCATTTTTGGTTAATAGACATACCTTCGAAATCCTACGCATTTTCGAGAAAAAAATTCAGTAAGTGCTTAAATTTTTCGATGAAAAAAAAATTTTCGAATTGTTCTGGAAAAATTATTTTCGGTTATGGGGGTCAATTACAATCATTTTTGGTTAATAGATATATCACCGAAGTCCTACGCATTTCCGAGAAAAAAATTCAGTATGAGCGAAACTTTAAACATTCGTAACTTTTTAACAAAGTCTCCATCAACAAATTGGAATTCTTGATTTTCGTCCTATTTTGGACGCCTTTATATCTGTATACGATAAAATGACCGATTCAGTCGTTTTCGACATTCGGTTTTGTCAACGATGCGTAATTAAATTTAAATAGAATATTTACAAATGAAATTCAATTTTTCGCTGATTTTACAAAGAATAGGAGTTTCTTGCTCAAGGATATACTCTCGTCTGCGTTCAGCTGTGGTCATCGAATAAAACTGAATACGTAATATATCTCTGTGTACTGCGGCGGTTTAAATCGAATATTCTGTTTTATAGAAAGTTTGGTTGCCTGTAGCGACGAAGAAATCCCACGAGCGAAAAGTAAAGAATTCAAGATGTAAGATCCAGAACTAAACACAGTTTATTGTAGATGATTAAACCCTCCAATGGAAGAACTACTGTTTTACTGATTTTAAAGTCTCCGTTTCCGCTCTGTTTCAATATTTCAAGCGATGCAAAATATTCAATGATACTATTTCAAGTTCGCCACTCTCTATGCAAAATAATTTAATCAGTCGTATATTGGATGAATATTTTGTATGCAAAACGTGGAAGATATTTTAATATATTTTTATATTGAATATCTGTTGTACCTCGTTATGCAATGACGCAAAATATTCAATGATACTACTTTGAGCTCGCCACTCTCTATGTAAAATAATTTAATCAGTCGTATATTGGATGAATATTTTCCACGCAATATATGGTGGATATTTTAATATATCTTTATATTGAATATTTATTGTATCTCGTTGTGTATTGCTTAAAAGTTAATCCGCAAGGGATACCATACGAGCGTGTCGTTTATTATTGTTACCACGTGAACGAGGAAGTAAATGGAATGGAAACAGAACGACCGCAATTATTCGACCGTGAAATCCGTTTTTCTTCTCGATTTTCCAAAGCTCAGCCAGCCTTTCTCGTTGAAGAAGACGATAATGGACGACAGCAATCCCGTCCCGAGCACGAAAAAGCAAACTTGCACGTCGTTCAATTGGAACGGTACGAAACCGTGTTTCGAGTGCCAGTGATGACCGTCTATATTCACTTTCATCTTCACCGCGATCTCACGGATCGAATGGATCCTCCACTGTGTCGGCAATCCAGCCTGGTTCAATTTGCCAATTATCGCGTTGATTCTTTCGCGGAAAATCGAGTTGCTTGGCAGGAGACACGCCAAAGAGAACTGGGCTGCAATCATCAACAGAAGTCATCAATCTATTTTAAAAAATAGCTGAAATTTTAGAAACACCTATTGCTAATCCATATATAAAAATCGTGCAAGAAAACACAACGATTTTTTAAAAGAAAGCCTAAAGGGGTTGAAATTAAGCGGAAAGTTGGATGGAAGAAGCCTCCAGCAACCACTTTAAATTATAAAAATACTCTGAAAGAGGCTTGAAATAAAATTATTAAGAAGAAGACAAAAAATGTCTTAAATTCATCCTCTTTGTGATGTATTTTACTAAATTTAAAGTACCTTGTAGAACAGCGTTGTCTAAAAGTTATCTTACTCGAAGTCATTCGAATGCTGGAGGTTCTATAATATTATTAATGCGTCCCAGTGACACTCCTATTGTTGTTAACGGGGTTAAACTCGCGTATTCGTCAGGGTGCCGTCCGTCGAAACATTTTTCAATGGGTTTTACCAACAGTGGTATTACACACTATCCGTCACCGTTCTGTCTGACGCTCCCTTTGAAGAACATTTGACGGACGGTTGCCTGATGGATAGTATGGATTCGGGTTAAGTCGCATGGAATAGTAGGATCAAATATGATATAACGCCCCAAACGATTCATCGATGCCAGAAAATGACGCGTGCAATATATTAAATACCTAACACGATGTACTGTAATCGAGACAAAATTCAATAAGGGATTGTTAAAATCCTCCAAACATCCAAGGATAAAAAAAAGCAGAGATGACTGTAAAATTTCCAAAATTTTCTTCGTATCAGTGAAAATAATGGAGATAATTACTATCATCAGAGCTATTTAATTATCTAGAATATCGTGGTCTAGAATTTCATTTGTTGAAACGGAATTTCACTCGTTAACTGAATTCCTGTATGATTGAATCGACTGATCTGAATGTGAAGCACGGTTATTTGAGCGAAAAATCAATAGCCAGTGGGAAGATTCAGTGAACTTTTATCATATGTACTATTCACCCCTAACAGGGGCGGAGGTAAGTGGAGTTGTACAGTATTTATAAAATTCATCGCCCACCTGGGCATTCCTTCACAGAGTGAAGCATGTGCGCTCCAGTTTTGTCTATCAGGGACTCTTTTATTAAAGGGCAATACTGATCCCTGAGGAGTCCGCTGATATTGCGATGGAAAGCGGTCTCCTCGATGTTGTTTGGCGCGTATATCATCCTATCGCGCAGCTTCCTCAAAACCGGACTCAAGTCGGGATCGTTCTCCGACCCGAACACGTCTCTGACGCTGTAAGAGAAAAATCCTATGGGCAGTCCAGATGCTTCCAGCTCCTCCATGTTGTCGATATCCTTGTAGAACATGTCTTTCGCGAAGCAGTCGTAGAGCGCGCCGTTGAATATACCTATTAGAGTCACGCTGCTGAAGAAAACACCTGCCAAGAGTCGCCTCTCGGCGCTCGAGTTTGGCAGAGGAATCGGGCAACCTGCGCTGGCGAGGAACATGTGGAACGCTGTGGATTTGATGTCAGCTTTTTTAGCCCTGAGGATGAAAAAGACAACAATTTCTCTGTTAATTTGGAAGCTGGAAGTTGCTGGTAATTAGCCAGAGGATTCTTAATCCTTTGCACTCCAATGACGATGTTACTCGATTTAAAGTCTATGTATACCTAACTAACGAAACTTAGAATAAAGTAATTAGATAATTTCTCTGGGACAAAGGGCAATTTTAATATTCTTTAAAATGGTATCACAATATTCAAGGGAGTGCAAAGGGTTGACAAATCTGGACTCAGAAGTGGACGTTCTTTTACAAGTTTTAATGACCAAAGGATATGGGGCTTTTCAATGGAGAAAGAAAAGGAGAGGAAATCAAAGGAGCTAAAGAGATGGTTGATGAATTAGGAGTAGGGATTCGTACCTTGCCCCACTCCTCAATATTCCTCGAGCTGGGCTACCTGGGTCTGGGACCCGCATTCAGTTTCGGGAAGCATCCGTGGAAGCTGTTATTGCGAGGTATCCTTGTCAACACAGCCCGTGGAACATTGAGGAGTGGGAGAAGGTCGGAGAACAGTAAGAATCTACTGTGCTGCAGGTAAACACCTGAGACAACTCATCCAAGTACGTTAGAGAATCTTACGTATCGATTAATAGTATAATGCAATGAAAATAAGTGTTTGCTCATTCTCTTATAGAAAATTATGGTAAACTTTACAAGCTTCATTAGAAATGAATCATCTTGACTGCTTTGGTAGTTCCAGTGTTAAATGCGTTGGTTCAGCTAGTGTCTGGAAGCCAACTCGAACGAAGAATAATAACTCCAAGTGTGTGATCATTGTTTTATACGTAAATATGAATCTTCGAGCGTCTAAGTTTACCGCGATAGGGGGTTAAACAGTGGACGATGAAGTTTGATCGCGGCCTCACCTTCGTGGCGTAAATACTTGCACGTAGTACCATGCCAGGCATACTATAATGTGCGAAAGTAGCATGCATAGCCATAAAGAGGATTCGAATATGTAGTATATCCTGAAACCCTTTGGTATCGTGGCTGCTTTCGGCGTTACAACGCAAATCTTGTCGAAACCCACGGTTGTTGTAAATTCCACGCCGCTCATATCGTTTACATACTTCTTCACGAAGAACGTGGCGAAGGACGCTACTACTCTCCGATACACCACGTCGCCTAAACAATAAAACGATTTTCACTACTCGATAGAAAATACATCACGTATCGTGACTATAAAACCAATGTAAAATTGTCAATTTTTATACGTTGTTGAAATAATGATAAGTGTAGCATATTTGAAATTGTGTTAAACGATATTCTGCCAACGAAGGGTAAATTGTATGGAAAAAGGAAGAATTACAGAAAAATTATTCCTGTTTCATAACTATAAAACCGCAATAACGGGGTACTCTTTATTAATCAAATTATACGAATATTACGCTGAGAATAGAATTGAATTCAGTTATAACAATAATTTAATAACGCGTAGAATTGAATTCAGTTATAACAATAATTTAATAACGCGTAGAATTGAATTCAGTTATAACAATAATTTAATAACGCGTAGAATTGAATTCAGTTATAACAATAATTTAATAACGCGTAGAATTGAATTCAGTTATAACAATAATTTAATAACGCGTAGAATTGAATTCAGTTATAAGAATAATTTAATAACTAATTTAAACAATTTGAATTAGTCGATTCTTTATACTTAGAATAAATATAATTCAACTGTTCCTAAGGAAACATACTTTTTTCAAATTTTAACAAGAATATATATAACATTGAAAATTTTAGGGTGATTTCACAGTTATGACACGTAGTATAGTAACATAGGAATAGAAACATTCTTGTAATCTTAAAATTTTATAGTAGAACTATTATTATCCGAATTAATGAGACTATTCAGTGAGAGATCTAGAAAAATTAAAAAGAATAGAAAAATCCTTATAATCTTAAAATTTTATAGTGGAACAATTTTTATCCGAATTAATGAGATTGTTCAGAGAATCTAGAAAAATTGAAAGGAGAAGAGGGTTTAAAATAAAATGGCGACTCATCTAGGAGCGTTCATCAAAGTTAACGCTTTCGTAGGACATATTCACCCGTTTGCAAGTAAAATGAAAATGATAACTAATGAAAACAGCTAAAAAACAGTGAACTTCGTGATTACCTAGGGCCCCGCTGATCGTGCCGTTTTTCATCAGGTGACCGTACCTTTCCTCGGTCTTTGGCTCGACGACGTTTATGGTAAAATTCAATTTCTTTGCTATAACGCCTAACAGGATCCCGCTGGTGCCATTATATCCCCCCGAATAAGAGTAGATTGAATTTGGATCCACTTTCCCTTGGATTTTACTAGCTTCCTGGATTTGATCGAAAATGCTCACGTTGAATTTGTACCGGTTGAAGTTGAGAGTGCGTCGGTACGTCAACGTCGATAGCAAGTGCAGCATGTGTCTCTTCGAAGTTGCGTTTACGGCCTCCAGTTTTCCCCACGCTGAAACGATTGCTCTATTAAAATGCTAAATAAGTACACGGGGTGTCGTAAAAGCCACCAGACTATCTAACAACAAGTTCCACAATTAATTATCTATTTTTCGAGTAGAAATTTACAAAGAGGATGTCGAAATCTACCAGCGTATCGGTATAAATTATAGTTAAATCGGTGTCATCGAAGGTCTTACACCATCCTCGTGTTCTATTTCTCGAGCACCCCGTGTGCATGGTAATACGTACGTACATCGCGACGGGGCGTATCTTTAATGAATTTAATATCAAGCGTACATGTAATATTCATGTAATCCGATCGTTCAAGCCTAACGTGGAGCGACAATTTGTCGTATATGTTACGCTAAAACGCATTTACGGTCGCGGTCGACGCGTTCTCGTCGCAACACTTTGTTAAATATTTGTGTACCCGTTTCATTAATCACGGCGAACGGATTGTAGGAGTATATATCGCGGTTTTTGTCGTCCGACAGTGGCTCGTTTGCAAATACATTTTGAATGCGACGCTCCAGCCAGAGTTTCCTAAGCGTCCCATCGATCAACGGTTTTCTATCGTTTAACTTCGCCAGGGAATCGTTCCAAATCGTCAGCACGATGAAATGCTCCCTGCTGTTCCACTCGAAGGGAGTTTCGGCGACTAACAATTTCTCAAAGGCGTCGTTGTCACCGAAGAAAATAATGTTCACGTTCCAGAGATCCAAATAATAATCGTTCTTCTCCCGGGTCCTACGTATGCTCCATTTACGATGAAAAAGATTCACCGTGGACGCGAATCTTCGTATTGCTTGTCGTTTATTCGCGTTTGCCATTGGTCCTGTGTTCGATGTTATTGAACGATAGCAATCTCGATAGTGGTTCGCGAGAGAGTGGACTTTTAATAAGACAACTGCTTCGCAATATTCGGTAGTAGTTTGAAGGAGAACGTCGAAGAAGTGGCGCAGAGTTTCCGAGCTGTTCGCGAAAACGCCATGGAAAACGAAGGTCCTCGTTTTGGGGAGGGTGCACAGAATCTCTGTCCAATATTCGATAGCTCGCTGGAACGTTCCATTGGGATCTGTAGCTTGACAGGGAATCGATGGTACCAGCAAAAGTCCCACCAGTAACGTTCTGAAAATCATCTGGAGAACAAATTTAAACAATTATAATACTGTTCCTTATTAAAAATAAAAATAGAACCGATACTAGAACAGTTATAACATCACTTCCTTCTCCCTAGTTTCTGCTATCACTACAATCTTACTAATGAAGATACTTCAGCCATTTCTGTTTCAGATTAGCGGATGGAATCAGCCAGTGGAGCAGCCATTAAACAAGAAGTTACAACTCCCACAATTTTTAATATCTTTCCACGAAAAAAATACTGTGCATGCTCGTAAGATGAGTAAATATATCCGCAAAATCACAGCACGAAACAGTCTATCTACCAATGAAAAAAAAAATCACAAAAAATGACAGTCTAGATACCTTTTCGGAACAGTCATTAAACAAGAAGTTACAACTCCCACAATTTTTAATATCTTTCCACGAAAAAAATACTGTACATGCTCATAAGATGAGTAAACATATCCGCAAAATCTCAGCACGAAACAGTCTATCTACCAATGAAAAAAAAAATCACAAAAAATGACAGTCTAGATACCTTTTCGGAACAGTCATTAAACAAGAAGTTACAACTCCCACAATTTTCAATATCTTTCCACGAAAAAAATACTGTGCATGCTCATAAGATGAGTAAATATATCCGCAAAATCTCAGCACGAAGCAGCCTATCTACCAATGAAAAAAAAATCATAAAAAATGACAGTCTAGATACCTTTTCGGAACAGCCATTAAACAAGAAGTTACAACTCCCACAATTTTTAATATCTTTCCACGAAAAAAATACTGTGCATGCTCATAAGATGAGTAAATATATTCTCAAAATCTCAGTACGAAGCAGCCTATCTACCAATGAAAAAAAAATCATAAAAAATGACAGTCTAGATACCTTTTCGGAACAGTCATTAAACAAGAAGTTACAACTCCTACAATTTTCAATATCTTTCCACGAAAAAAATACTGTGCATGCTCATAAGATGAGTAAATATATCCGCAAAATCACAGCACGAAACAGTCTATCTACCAATGAAAAAAAAAATCACAAAAAATGACAGTCTAGATACCTTTTCGGAACAGCCATTAAACAAGAAGTTACAACTCCCACAATTTTTAATATCTTTCCACGAAAAAAATACTGTGCATGCTCATAAGATGAGTAAATATATTCTCAAAATCTCAGTACGAAGCAGCCTATCTACCAATGAAAAAAAAATCATAAAAAATGACAGTCTAGATACCTTTTCGGAACAGCCATTAAACAAGAAGTTACAACTCCCACAATTTTTAATATCTTTCCACGAAAAAAATACTGTGCATGCTCATAAGATGAGTAAATATATTCTCAAAATCTCAGTACGAAGCAGCCTATCTACCAATGAAAAAAAAATCATAAAAAATGACAGTCTAGATACCTTTTCGGAACAGTCATTAAACAAGAAGTTACAACTCCTACAATTTTCAATATCTTTCCACGAAAAAAATACTGTGCATGCTCATAAGATGAGTAAATATATCCGCAAAATCACAGCACGAAACAGTCTATCTACCAATGAAAAAAAAAATCACAAAAAATGACAGTCTAGATACCTTTTCGGAACAGCCATTAAACAAGAAGTTACAACTCCCACAATTTTCAATATCTTTCCACGAAAAAAATACTGTGCATGCTCATAAGATGAGTGAATATATCCGCAAAATCTCAGCACGAAGCAGCCTATCTACCAATGAAAAAAAAATCATAAAAAATGACAGTCTAGATACCTTTTCGGAACAGCCATTAAACAAGAAGTTACAACTCCCACAATTTTTAATATCTTTCCACGAAAAAAATACTGTGCATGCTCATAAGATGAGTAAATATATTCTCAAAATCTCAGTACGAAGCAGCCTATCTACCAATGAAAAAAAAATCATAAAAAATGACAGTCTAGATACCTTTTCGGAACAGTCATTAAACAAGAAGTTACAACTCCTACAATTTTCAATATCTTTCCACGAAAAAAATACTGTGCATGCTCATAAGATGAGTAAATATATCCGCAAAATCACAGCACGAAACAGTCTATCTACCAATGAAAAAAAAAATCACAAAAAATGACAGTCTAGATACCTTTTCGGAACAGCCATTAAACAAGAAGTTACAACTCCCACAATTTTCAATATCTTTCCACGAAAAAAATACTGTGCATGCTCATAAGATGAGTGAATATATCCGCAAAATCTCAGCACGAAGCAGCCTATCTACCAATGAAAAAAAAATCATAAAAAATGACAGTCTAGATACCTTTTCGGAACAGCCATTAAACAAGAAGTTACAACTCCCACAATTTTTAATATCTTTCCACGAAAAAAATACTGTGCATGCTCATAAGATGAGTGAATATATCCGCAAAATCTCAGCACGAAATAGCCTACCTATCAATGAAAAAAAAAATCACAAAAAATGACAGTCTAGATACCCCAATACTCTTCACCGCTATTCTTTTTTAAAACCCGAAATAGAACAGTTACAACATCGCTTCCGATCGTTTGAAATCGAAATTACAAGAGTCTTCAAACTCCGGTGAATAGTTTCGCGAATTTTATAGGGAAAGGCTTGGGTCACTGCACCGGGAAGAATCTCGTTTAATCGAAATATATCAGAGCACTTTTTCGCGGAACGTCGACAGCAACGCGGAGCAGGACCACGGAAACAGGCAATCACACTTTGTTTACCCCGATCCTTATTTATTCGCGCCTCGACGTCCTTCCAAACGATTCGAACGATTCAGCCCCGTCGAGTTCGATCAAAAATTTCTGCCCGATTGCCTTCGAACCTCGTTGGCTCCTAACGCCCGTCACAGTCTGTTCTCGATCATCGTCGGGGGGGCTTCATCGACGGAGATTCGGATCGACCGGCCATGGAGATCGTATCTCGCGAGCCCTAAATCGCGGCGGGCGTTTAACGGAGGATTCCGTTCGATGGGAACAACGCAGGCGGCGAAATTTGCACCCTTATCCGACCGTCATCGGAATACAGGGCGGGTGAAAATTTAATGGAGCCACTGAACGATAACACGGAACCGATATTGCTCGGACCTGTACCTTAACGACGTTCCGGGGTACGGAATTTCGAGATTTTCGAGAATGTCGGGACTCTTGAGAATCTTTAAGATCCCCGGAAGTACCGAGAATCTCGTCACTGTTGGCAGATACGCCACTCTCGGTGATCTCGAAATTTTTTGCGAACCCCTTCCATTAAAAAATTTTCGAATAGAATATTTCAATTTTAGAAAGCAATAAATGGCAGAGTGTTTTTTAAAATAGATATTTTAACGAGATTTTGAACCTACTTTCATTCAAAGGACTTTTAGCGAACGTTTTGAAACAATTTAATCGAAAGAGAATTTTGAAGTATTTTTTTGCATAAAAATAACTTTGTAACGGAAACAATCGTGTTATTGTTTTTAAAAGCGTTGTGAAAGCAGAAACCACGCGAACGCGATACTCTGAACATTCCTTCACCCTCTTGTGTTTAGCAAGAATGACGAAAAACTAGTGTTTTTAGAGTTTAGAAAAAATTGCCCGAAATCACACGCTTTTCTGTATGTCTTAAGTGGCGATGTTTAATTATTTCGCGCGACGGAATATTCGGAGACTTCAGTTCCCCATTAAAGCTCCAAAAGCGTTCGAAAGCTAACGACACGACGATGGAAGAGCATTATTCGTTTTGAAGGTACATTAGACCCAATTAACTTTTCACATATCGCAGCAACCTTTGATTAAATTCGAAACTGTCAAGACCGTCGAGCAGAATGACTGCAAAAATCATTAATTAACCGGTAATGTCATCGGTAATGCATTTTACTGAACTCCCGACAACAAGGACGCGTCAATTTCAAACAATGGTTAATTTAATTGGGAACTGTCACATCCTGTGTGCAACGGAACATACTTAATTACGCAGTGAAATTAATAAATATGATAAAAAGCACCGAATATAGGTAACGCTTGACGCGATCAAATGGACGTATATATTCTCGAAACTCGGACCAAGTATTTAGTTACGAAGAATTCGAACCTAATATGTATAAATATAATTTCTATGCACTATTATCTCGTAAATGAATGTATCGAGAATAATATAATTAGTGGGCATAGAATATAAAAGTCACGTACGAAAGAAAATGGTGCCAGAAGACGAAGAAGAAGACACACGAGTTGCAAAACGATGGCTGTGCTGGCAGTTATGGGCGACAGAAATAAAATGGACGATTAACCGGGAACGCTCGTGAATTGTACACATAGTGGAGGGTCTACGGGGAGACCGTGAGAAATTAGGGGACTTAGCCGGAGAAACAGGGTCGTTCCAGCGCAATTGTCCAGAAACTTCTGACGCGATACTCGACTTAACGACCTGTCAAACGGTTGACGCGGAGATGCCCCGAAATTGCGATGCAAACGTTCCCTCGATTTACTCGTGGTAAACAAAGGGGCATAGAAAAGGGTCTATTACAGACTTTTCGACTGAGAAAATTAAGTAGAGAAACCTGGCGCTAGGACAGACGCGATAGAATCGTGGTGCCACGAAGTTCGTAGTTTCTTCCACGAGTGTCGTCCTCCAAAAGAAAGGCAGAGTATTTGTTGCTCCTAAGATTTATAATCGTTCGATCTTGCATGAAATCCTCGTTTCCAATTTCTTCGTTTCTTCCTATAGAACGTTTCCTTGATTCGTAATTTCTTAATTTCAAATTAGGTATCTAATATAATAAAATTGTGAAGAAGACTTATCTTTCGATTTTTCCTCGTTTCTGCAATGTTTATTTAAGTTTTCTTCGTCTCTTCCTTGCTTTCTCATCTCCCCTCGCAATCCTCACAGTGTGGTGTGCCTTCATGCTTCGTGACGCGGTCATGGTCGCGATCATCATTTATCCTCGCATGTTTCGTCAAGGCAAATTGTTATTTGCACGCTTCGGGGCGTTTCCTTCCGGGCTCCCGATGTTTAATAAATAGTTGTATTCCAATGTTATTATTACCGGACCGATTTTCTCTCGTTCCGCGTCGCATCGATTCGTCGTCGATCGACAGAGTCCAGTTTGTCGTTGCATCCCTCTAGTCGATGGGTGAGTTTAACATAATAAAAATATTAGTTTCGAAAAGACAACAGTCTGAGTTCTGAACTCTGTTGTACATCTATCTTGGAATAATACAACGTTGTAACAAAAGCTTCGCACGAAACTTCGGTAAAAGTCGGTTTAAAGACTGCGTTTCGCGTTTCCCGATGCAGATCGATCACGCGATTGGGAAAAAAATTTGGCGGCAAATTACACTACGGCCTCTTCTTATCCGTTTTTCCATCGTCAGTTTCGCGGAAAAACATCGCTTTTTTACCGAACTTCTTGCTTTTATTGCTCGACGCCGCGTCGGACGGAGTTATTTACGACAGTTCCGCAGTTCGAAAGCTTCTTTCTACGTCAACGTCGACCCGGACCAATGGTTTTTAACATTTTTAATCTCACGGCACGGTTTGAAACAGTCTACCAATTTTGGTACGCGATAAAATTGTATCGACACGCTGAGAATTTTAATTTCAAATGGTGCAATCGACTCTCAATTTCTTTATTCGACGATTCATATACGTAGAACATCTTTTCTTTGGTTCGCGATAGAAATGTATCGCTGAGAATTTTACAATTAATGGAGCAATGGACTCTTAATTTTGGTATTAGAAATTGCAAATAAGATACGTAAAATAAATTAAATAAAATGGTGGCACAAGTTCAAGAATCATTAATGCTATCGCGATGAAGCCAGAGGCACCCTGAATCGTAGTTTCTCTCCCGCTAACTCTAATCCTTCAATCTTCTTACGTTTATAGGCTCTCGTCGAACAGCTGCACGAATATTTACGGGAACGTCGTCTCGATATTTTTGTCCTGGTTCGGAAACACAACAGATGCTTCCAGCCTCTCGCCATCTTTAACTTAAAGAACAAAGCTCCTGAGAAGTAGTATCATCCTCGGAGGCCATCGATCGCTTCTCTTATTGTTCGTTGCTGAAACATCGAGCATAAGCTTCGAGTTACCTAATCAAGATACGATCGAAGAATTTCGAAACGACGGGAAATTGAATACCCGATAGAAAAGAGGATCACCAGCAATGGCGAGTTCATTCGTGCATTTCACCCTCGTTAGCATCGTATTTTTAACAGAATCTTCCTCGTCATTGGGGAACGGTTCCATTTATCGCAGATTCCACCCGTCGATCCAGGAGACCCAGAATCTAAAACAGATTCTGGAATTTATCCACGAGTCACCGGAGTTTCGTCCACCGAGAATGTCCATAATCCTTCCCGAGTTTCGATCGAACATCGCTGACGTTGTTCTCAGCCACATCGGGCAACGCGAGACGGTAGTTCACAAGATAAGAGCCAGAGACTTGACCTCGAAGTTCATCTCGACGAACAAGATACGACTCACGTGGACCATCTTCGTACGCGATTTGTACACCCTGAACATTTACGTTTATTGGCAGCCCAAACTGTGGAGGGCCAGCAACCAGTACCTTATCTTTTTCAGCGATAGCGAAGTTGCAATATCCTGGAAGGACATTTTCAAGAACCTGTGGCGGAAATATGGCGTCTACAGAGCGGTGATCGTTCCCATCCAAGACGAGTTTAACTGTCTCTTCAGATACGCGCCTTTCGAGGTTCACGACGACGATTTTGGCGGTGTGCATAAATTATGCTCGAAGAAATCACCGAACGAAGAGTCGAAAAACGTCCTGCTTCTTGATAAAAACACACGACTGTTCGAGAACTTCCACAACTTGAACGGTTATCCTCTGAACGTGGTCGCGTTCGAATCTTTGCTAATGGGTGTCCAGTACGACGACAAAAAGAGGTTGAAGCTGAGCAAGGTGGATTCTCAGGTGTTGTACGCTTTGGAGGGTTCCATGAGGTCGAAATTCCACGTGAAAGCCACTAGAGCCATCGATTTCGGGTTGGCCTCAGACCCGTTCGATCAGTCCTTGAAGGAGATCGAGAGTGGCAGCACAGAGATGGTCGCCACTGGCTTCTTCGTCAAGTCTTACACCCAGCATCGCCACTTCCGGTTCACCTCCGCCCTCTACGAGGACAAGGTGTGCTTTCTCGCGCCAGACTCGGGCCTGGTGCCCAAGGCTTACATGCCCTTTATGCCGTTCGACAAGGACTTGTGGGCCCTCTTGGCTGTATACAACGTTGGGGTCGTGTTGCTCTGGTGTCTGATGAACTATGCCAACCGATCGTTGCAACGTCGACCAATCAACTCGTCGACAACTCGAAGATCGTCGACGAGACGCTCGGGAAGTTTGAAGGATTCTCCATCAGAGCCTCCAGAAGTTCCTGGCTACCTGTTGACGTTGTTCCGCTTCTTCGAGCTGTTCTGCTACCCTCTTCAAATCGGCGACACCCCAGCGCAGAGGGCACTGCTCGTGGGCACCCTGTTCTTCGGGCTGATCATGAACGGGGTCTACCAAAGTTGTTTAGTGTCCAGCTTCAACAAACCGTTCCATCATCCTCAGCTGCACACGCTGGAGGACGTCCTCGACTCTGGGAAAATGCTGTTCACCAAGTACGCGAATCTGAAAAGCGTCTTTTTGGACGACATGCCACTGGACAGGGTGCTGGAACAGAGGATCCACGTGGTGAACAACACCAAATCGACCAAAGGCATGGTGGCGTTCGAGAACATGATCGCCGTTTCGCGGTACTTCTCGATGGTGCTGGGCGATTACGCGTATTACGACGAGGAGGGCAATCCTTTGTTGCACGTGGTCGACGAGTGTCCCATGAACTACCGGGTGTCGTACGTGTTGAGATCGAACTCCCCCTACGAGGAGAGGGTGAATTTCGTGCTGGAGAGACTGAAGGAAGCGGGGATGCTCGCGTTTTGGTTCGACAACATGACGTATCCGTTGAAGATCGTCAAAATGAAGAGGCTGAGGCGGAACGATAGAACGATCCAGCTAACCCTGGAGCACTACTCGCTCGCGTTTTTACTGCTCTTCGTCGGCCTGCTCGGCTCCGCGATCATGTTTCTCGTCGAGGTGTACACGGCTAAAAGAGCTAAACGCAAGACACGGTAGTGGATGAAATTCGTACGCGATTCGAAGCGTATTTCTTAGATGGGGAACTCGAATCGTGGATATAAGGGATATTCGATGCGAAATAAAATATTTTATCGTCGTCGCGAAAGCTTTACGAGCTTCGTTTCTCGAGGCAATCGTGCCTTAGATTTCGGAACTTGTGGGAGACGAATACGGAATTGGCTCCTCGTCGAAGGATCGAATCGATGAGAACGATTTGTGGGCTTTCTTAGCTATTTTGTAGCTGAGAATTTATGAAAATATATTAGGAAGTGCACAGTGGCCTAAATGTGAAGACGAATTGGTATTCCAGGCAGAGTTTCTACGCTTTGGTCTTCCGATCGATCTAAAGTGGCGCGAAACTACGTTTACGTTTTTACTCTGGTGTTTCTCGATATTTTTTATTTAACCAACTGTCATTCGCGTGTCTGTGAACGGAGCAGCTGTTTATCTCGCGCATCGACGTCGATTCGCCGATCCCTTTACGAGACAAGTTTACTGCGTCGTTAAAATGGATTCCCTATACTTTTTAACGCCGTAAGATACGCGAACGCGTTTATTATTTATCCGACTCGACTACGTTCGAACAAGGGTTTCGAAGCTGTAAAGGGTGGGTTGGAAACGCCTTGAAAAATTTCATTTCACGTTTGGATTCTTTCTGGCGTTGTATCGCACGTTTTAGGACACCCTGTACTTGTAATTAAGTTCTTGGGCAAGAGAAAAATCAATTTCCAGTGACAAAGTGAGTTGTGTGTTCATCGATCAGGCTCTGCCTGACGTTGACGAGTCACGAAACGATTTTACCGAAATCCGTACCGGTTTTAATGCGGTTAATTTTAACCGCGGGGAGACACCGGCCGCAGAGTCATTAATTATTAATCGCGTTATGTAAAACATTATAAATTTTAACGTTCGTTATGCAAATTAAGCAGAATCATGAATTTCACGTGCGTGAAAACTTCGTTAGTTAGCAGTGTCATTGGGCAAATTGTTAATGTCATTTAGATCGAGAGCTTGAATATCGTAAGACTGTGCTTTCGTAAATGGATATACAATTTTGGAGTTACTTTTTTTATTAAAATTTATTTTATTTACAAATAAAGGAATTTTCATTAGTTAATTTCTACTACTTCAGAGTGCATTTAGACGGCAAACAAAATTGCATATTACATATGTACGTAATACATATGTACGTGTGTATCCTCAAAGTGTCATAATTTTTTGAATTTCCGGGTTTGGGGAAGCTTCCCTCGTTACTCATCTCTTCGACGTGCCTTTTACAATGAACCCTTTTTAAATATGATAATGGTGTCCAGCGACACTCGTTGCACACACTTACTTTCACGTTCGTTCATTTTTGTAAAACAGAATGCGAAACGAGTTTAACAATTACACACTCGGTGTTCCCGTGGAATTTAGCAAAGACCAAACGATAGGCTCGGAGAAAGACGGAGAATTCGGAGCACGTACTTCATTTCTTCCGAGCTGACGCTCCGCTAAATACGATTAAGTTGTACCTGTCGGTGTTACGAAAGTGCTCCACCGTCAATCTTCTCTATTACTCCGCGAAACGTTCGATTTGAATCTGTTGGAATAAATCGTTGGACAGAATCCTCGAAGATCTTCTTTCACGGGGAAGAACTTTGAGATCACTTGGATGATTACTATCCTTCTATAACTTAGTCCGATCCTGACGTCACTTGTCCATTATCTATATTTTTTAAAGTCTCGTTTCACTTTCTATTTAATAAAGTTTCCGAAATTGAACGTTAAATATGGCATTGCTCTAATTTGTTAATCGTCTGATTTAATTCTATTATCAATGTATATAAATTCTGGTTTTTTTAACTTTTAGCAACAACCGTTTCAATTAAACGTTTTTAAATTTCTCACTCCCCCGAGAGAGTAGAATCGGAACAAAAAATTTATTGCAGATTTTATTCTGCTTTAAATGCTCGCGTTAGGTCCTCCGTTCGAACGAATCCTCTTTAGAGAGCACTTTTGTTAGTCAATTTTTCATATTCGTTGCTCATTCACGACCGAATACTGTTTTCTCGCCGCAGTATAAATATTCATTCTGTGGAAAAACACACGCGCACGTATCTCTGCCCAATTGTAGTTACACAGCGATTTCCGCACAAATATTTGCAATTCGTGAAAAATATTAAATCCTTTTACATAAATGTATATTTTATTAATCCGTGAAATGAGAAATTTCATGACACTAAGAGGGTGATAATTGTTAAACTAGATGCGTAGGAAAATTTTACTCTTCTACGCTTCTCACCGAGCATTGTGAACAATTTTAGTAACATAAGACGTTCCAAAAACCTCGAAACCTAAAATAAGACTCCACTGCAGTTTGAAAACACTTTAAGTGGTTTTGTCAGAGAGTTATTTGCTTAATAAATTAAATAAATATTCCTTATCTTCTTTATCCACTCTCCCTCGCTGCGCATTCTGAGCTAAATAGCAGAAGAGAAATGTTGAAACCTCGAAAATAACTTAAAATCGAACTGCACTCCAGCCTGCAAAACATTCCAGTTAAATAGATTAAATGCTCTTATAAATAATTCTTTACTTCTTGCTTGATATTACAGATTGTACGTTTCTTAAACTATTTCAGTTCTAATTTAAAATCTTAAAATACTTCACTCTCTTCCCTGTAATCTATTAAAAACATTCCTGGACATTCTTTTAATCCCACATTATTAAATGTAAAATAATATCATTAGACGAAATACTATAAATTTACTATCCTTAATTATACAATATTAAACGACGGGTGGAGGCTTTTAATTGCATACGAAGGAACAAAGGACGAAGAGTAAGTTTCGTTAATTGCACAGAAATGTGTAATATTCTGCAAACCTGATTAGAAAATTATGACAAATGTACAGTGTGAGACGTGTGTAACGTGGTATAACGAGGAATATATACAGTGCAGAATAGAAACATTTCTGCGCGTCAATTATATCTCGTAATAATGCCTTTATATCCGGGGAAGTCTAAAGTCAACCATTGCGAATGTGGTTTCTTCGTGCGTTCGCGATTCGAGGATGCTCTCGCCATATTCTCGTAAATTTTATGAGCAAATCCATCCAGGAACGCGGAATAATCGCGTGTGTGTCTCGATGAAGATACATGGTAAAATTACTATTCACAGGATCGTTGCAATACGAGCGTTCTATCGACGAGGATCGCGCATCGAGGCAGAAATTGCAATTGCCTTGAATCGCGGGGGGGGAAATACTCTTTAAAATTGTTTAGACCGCGCGACAAGTCCCCGGGGCAAACAATTTTACAGAGATTTTTCTGCGGAGGAAGCGATGAATTATTTTTCGTTTGGAATCCCGCGTAACTCGCAACGAGGATAATAATATTTTACCGCGATAAATAATATCCGGCACGTTGGGAATAAAAACATTTCCCGTGCGCGGTAAAGCTGGTTCGTTTTACGCAATACCGAAACATTCGATACAATTTTTATTGGACAGATATCGGGAACTAAATACGTGTATAAATACCTCGATAATTACTACCGTCGATATACATTTTTATATCGTACTGTCTGAACGAAACTTCCCCTTTCAGGAGGCGTTATTAAATTTTTATTCGGGCAGCTCTGATTTTGGTCTTGCTTTCCCCCTAAACGGATCACCGTTAATACATTTCGTACTATTTTCTTCTTCCCGTGCAAGGATAATAAATTAAATTCGAGTCCGCCATTTAAAGGCACCTTTATATGAAATAACAACGCCAACGGATACATGGAAAGGTTGAAAGTAAGTTTCTTCAGCTCTCGCGTTTGTTCCTTTTTATCCCGCTGCTAGTAGCTTCTCCAGAAATGATCAAAGGGCGCGTTACGTCAAGTTGTGTACACGTGGAAGCAGATTCTAACAGTCTGTCCATACTTTTCCGGTAGTGTACGTGCTATCCGAGTTCTGAGTTCTGAAGTCGCGTCTTTGATATACGGATCGTGCCTCCTCGAAAATATTCCCTCTTGTTTTTTTTGTCGAAATTGTATATCGATACGAAACGGAAACCCGTCACGAGTACTGTATTTTATTCACATATCTTATTCCATTAGAAACAGACGCGAAGTTGCAAATATAAATCATAAGCAACTTTTAAATAAAAAGCAAAGAGCCTAAATTGGCGAACATTGCTGTCAGAACAAAGGAATAAAAAAAAAACAGCAAAAAGTGTCGTCCATCTTGAATTTAAGGGTATCCGTTTTTTGCAGCTAGGTCGGCAAAGGTGCAAGAGGAAACGACGAATATTTTTTAACGCGAATTCAACCCCCATTCGCTTCATTTGTTCCACCTCTGTTCGAATGACGCGTTTATTTGCGCCCGGGGCAAAAAACCATAGCGATTTCCAGGTCGCATTGTCGTTTATATTCGTTTCGTTTCACCCCCCCGTGGCAATGTCTCGTAACCGTTTCTCTGTTTCGTAGAATTTTTATTTCGCGGGGGCCCGGCTATCGGGGATTGCTTTTTCTGCGCTCGCAAACAAACACGATCGCGCTGGTCGTCAGGCCAACGTAAAGGATCCCGAATGGGATGAACAGATGCCTCATGGTGATCCTTTTGTGGGCGAACGAATCGTCGGCTCGGTGTGCACGCGTCTTCGATTGGAACACGCCGCGGTACCATTTCCCGTAGAAGCCTCCGTTGTTTAATCTACCCAGAATACTGTTTATACGCCCCCTAAACGGCGATCCTGCAACCAGATGTTAGTTTCGTGATCGAACGGCTGCGATAAATATTAACAAAAAAAAAGTCCCTCGCTCGTTGTTGATACGAGCCGGCTACAAAGTTGTGAATATGAAACTGTTCTGCTAGGAAGCTCGTCCGGCTCGAAAAAAACACGATTCGATGCAGCTTTACAGGCACCGATAAAAGTAAAGATATTAAAAAGGAAGCAACGATAAATATTCTGTCGTTATTGCAAATTGTTAATTTAAAAGTACGTCGGAGAAAATTAAATGTTTTACAACCAATTGAAATTATTAGATACGTAATTTCACCCCCATTTTATGTTCGATTGTATGTAACGATTAGAATAAAATGTTCTCTGTTTTTAAATGTAAGAAATAATTAATAGAGTTTGAGAAACGTTGCCACAAAATGGCGAACGTGAAACAGTGTTTGCGGTTCGCGATTGAGCGTTTCATTAGGCTTGAAGGCGGTAAACAACCTGACCTGTTTACACTCGTTCTATAATAAAATAACTGTGCTTCAACGACATAGTAGAGTAAAAGGGGTGGCGGTAGATATAAATGAAAGCGTTCCAAAATTATGTATATGTTCCTTAACCGTTTTTCAACGCACAAATTTTTAATTTTAGATACTGGCAACAATAGAATTAAAAAATAGACCAAATCATTCTTGACACAGTTCTTCCACAATTATTTTCCTTTATTGGCTCTCGTTATCGAGGTTTCAAAGCGTCGATCATAGATCACATGCGTGAAAAGTGTTCCAATGTCATTTTTCTCGAGAAAATTTATGATCCGTCTGTCAGTAGCGGTGGATAAATCGACCAAAACATCGAGTTTATTACGGCGTGAAATGTGGCGGAATTCAAATTGCGTGCCAAACGAATTGTCATGGGGGATGAAAAATGAAAATTATGTTCGCGAGAAACGTTGCACGTAGTGAAACAGAGTCTAAAAAAATACGGGAGAACCGACAAAAAGGTCGTGGAATTTATTTTTTTGAATTAAAGTCTGCTAGAATTTTAAATTAGGCCCCCGCTGTGCGATGTTACCACAATCGAAAACAGATGGAGAACAAACTTTTTTAAATTACGTTCCATTCGCAAAAAGGGCGTGTTTCACCTCTGGTTTTTATTCGCGCGCGACAGCAACTTCGGTTCGATTTATTTACTTTGGAGTTTAATTAACGTTTGCGATCGTGATTAACAAATCACCGGGAGACGCGTTTAAACGTATCGAAATTAACATTTACAGACATGTATTTAGTTATGGACGATTATCCGTCAAATAAAATACTTATTAATTCAGGGATTAAATTATCATTTTATAGTGCAAACTGAATTAATTTCGGTATATGTAGCACGATTGAACCACGCTTACGTAATAATTTACTATGTAATATGCAATTAATTGTAAATGCACATCGATGGAGAAAATTCTTATTTAGATAAAAGTTTATTTCTTTTTGCATTTTAATAGCATTAGAAATATTTGTTTAATTCCATGGAGATGAACGTACAAAGAAGCAATTAAATATGTAAATGATTGATTTGACGAGGGTAACTGGTCATACCTCCAACTCAACATTTTAGACATGATTTTCAACCCTCTTCAGAAAAATAAATTTCATTCTCAGACGAAGGAAAACGAAGAATAGCCACGGTGTCTCGATAAAAGCAAGTTTCAAAATGAAAAATAATCAGTCTAATCTACGTTTAGTTGAACATTAATTTAATATCCTCGTATCTTCTGTACCAATGGATATTGATAAATATTGAAAATTGGATGACACCAACCTTTCGTCATAACGTTGGCGAGGATATAGTCCTTCGGGCACTCTTTGACAAGATGCAGCTTTTGTCTCTGGAATTCGTCGTATCTGAAAGGTAACGTTGTCGGTCGATGAAGATACGCAGCATCCTTGGTCTCGAAAAGTCTCCTATCAATCTCCGTGTCGTTTGCATATTCCATTTTCTTGCGAAGACGTTTTATCAACGGAGTCGTAGAATCGCTCAACGCGTCCTCTATGATGTCTCGTGAATTGGTCAAAATTGTCAGGCCTTAAAAAGAAAGGAAATAAGACTTCATTCACACCCCAAGGAAAATACAGTAACAGTGAATCTATTGTACAATTTACCATTTAATTCTACAAATAAGGAGCAGAAGAATTATTCAGTCAGGCTTTGAAAAGAAAGAAAGAAGAAAAGAAAACTTCATTTACATCCCAAGAGACAGAGAGTAACAACGAATCTACAATTTACTATTTAATTCTACGAGCACATGAAGATGTCAACAGAATCCATAATTTTTAATTAAATTTCTCTGCAAACGATTCATATGGAGGCAGAATGTACTTAAAAGAATCGTCGAGTATGCGTTGGAAAGGCTGTCACTGTTATGGAATTTTATTGTGAGAACGTGTTATTAAATTTCTGTTGTTATTTCCCTCGTGCCCTCCTTCCCCTCTATATTATTCATTAGCGGGAAAAATGTCGAGCGATAATATAGCACCGAGCAGTCTGTACAGGCGAAGTTACGAGATCCATTCAATCTCAGACGGAGATCAACAGGATCAGAGTTAAGCGCTCACCACTCTTCTCGAGTTCCTCCAAAGTGTCGATGTCATTGTAATACAATCTCTTGCTGAAGCTGGACGCAAGCTGAGACGTGAACACGCCATTCAGAATAAGGCTCAGCCACAAACTGCACATCAGCAGAAATCTCTCAGGGAACCAAGGATGGCTACGCTCAAAGGGTTGCACCAGTTGGAGAACCACCTTAGTCAAGTATTTGCTCAGCGACGCGAGACAGGACAAAGAGGCTCGCTTGAATTGTTTCCAATGCCGAGGTCCGTTTCTAAACATTCGTGACGATTCGGGTGGATAGACCCTGTTATCAAAAGGAGAATACATCCTAAGATAAACGGCTTTCAAGATAATTTTGTGGCTACTCCGATTTAAGAAGCCAACTTGCTTGGCAAGTTAAATTTTATCGCTAATCGCTAATAATCAACGTTTTCGTACCAAAAATTTTTGCAGAGGGAAAAGGGTTGTCTCGAATAAATATAGTAAAATTTTTAACAACGTTATTTCTGCATCATATTCGCAGCTGCTTGTTTTGTGTTCTCTCGTTATGTTTTTAGCAAAAACTAATATTGATCACGTTCGTACGTTTTCTTTTAGACTGCTGTTCCAATTATTCTTTTCTTCCATTTTCCATCGACCCCATTTTTCGCGAGAATAAAAATCACGGTTACAGATCAAATATAGTATATTCAAATCCGTGCAAAGTCTGCTTTATTAGACACTTTCTATGCTCACCCAAGCGCTTTCTGTTCCTTTTCAGAAATCGGGACGATTACAATGCTTCGACCTGGACGCTTCTCGAGCCTCCTTCTTTTCCCCGGCATGCTCGTGTAGATCATCGTGAGAATAAAGTGGCTGGAGAACGCGAGCAACCAGGCGCCAAGGCTGAAGGTCTTGACGATGATCAAGTGGTCGGGAACTGGCGGAGCCTTTGGGACCAGGACGCAGAGCTTGTCGCTGGTGATGGCCGTCGTGAACTCGATCTGCCTGGTCAGGTAGTCCTTCACGAAGAACTGATTGAACGTGACGTCCGCGTACCCGTAGACCAGGTGACCCAGGGTCCCGTAAAACACGCCTTTGTCCTCCCAGCCGAACTTGTCCTTGGACGGTAACAGGACTGGCGTGATGTTCATCATTTTGGTGACCTCGTCCAGGTACATGTAGTCTATACCTTCGTACTTGTTCCCCGACACGAGCATCGTGGTCGACTTGAAGATGGAGATCTTCAGCGGGTAGAGCTCGAAGCTACGCCTCTGATCGTCGAAGAAGTCCGTGACGTCCGTCGCGTTAGGATGATCGACCATCAGGAAGTCGTCCTCGTTGACCTTGACGCAGAACCAATCGCAGCTACTGTTCAAGAGCTGTTTGATGTGGTCGCCAGCGTACTGGAAGGGATCGTAACGTATCGCCCTGTCCTCCGTGAAGAAGACCAGTCTGTAGACCCTTCTGAACCTCCAGAGTCTCTCGAACGCCCATCTGCAGAAACGTTCGTCGTCGAAGGTGTCCGAGAGTTGGTGACGTTTCCCCTGGAGGAAGTAGACGTTCTCCGGATGCCAGAACGAGACCAAGTACGGCGAACCGAGGATGTCCCTGAGGTGGTCGGTGTTCGAAAACAGCAGCAACACGCAATTCCCAGACTCGATGGTCTGATTGGCGCGTTTCACGGTCGTGTTCATCAGAGACATCAGGTGCTTGAGCGTGATCAGTCTGGTGGAAACGTTGAGACGGTCCAAGGCGACACGGGGGAAGTCCAGAGCGTCGTCGTCGAAATCGTCGAAGACTACGGTCAGCATCCCTGTGTTGCTCGTGTTCGCCCACTTCTCCAGGAACGGGTACACGGAGGAGTGGTCGCTCGATTGACTTGGAACGACGAACTCGCAAGCGACGTACAAAAGAAAGCTCGAAGATAAGAGGATCGTTGGGAGCTTCGTGGACATCTTCTGGAAATGGAAAATTTTTTTTTCTGTTTGTTATTTTAACGTAGTCAATTCGAATATTTTACTTTAAAGGCAGATACAGGTATCTCGAGTGCCAGGAAGTTCTTTTTTTTTTGAAGAGGGACGTGTATCGAAAGTTAATTATCTTTATTTTCGTATTGTATCTATCGTTCTATTAATTTTGATAATAGCGTAGGGTTAGCGAGATATCGTTTCGGAAAATACATCGAGCTGTCGAGGCGTTGAATCGACGATCGGGAAACGAAAGGTAATCCCGCGATTTGATGGAACTACGTTTCAACGAAGGACGAGTTAATTCACCCGACCCAATAAGCTTGCCAGTGGACGCCGGAGTTTCCGATGCTGGTTGTAGATCGTAAATTTGCCCGCGAATCGAATCAACATTTTCTCTGGAAACAGTTTAAAGAACCACGGCAAACAGGATTTGCCAGGATTCGTTTAGAAAAGTTCGTCACTCTCGTTAGAGCGTGCCTTTTAACAGGCTTTCTTCTTTTACGTTCGACAATAGAAAATATTTTAAATAAGTTTCGTGGTAAACATCGGTGTTCTTTTGTTTCGAATCGATCTGTTCGCGTTTAAAACGACTCAATTGTGGCAAATTAAGGAGACCCGATTCGAATTTAGAACGACCGGCGACGACTTGTCTTTCGAATCTTCGTTTCGTTATCAGAAACGTCTTCGGGGGACACGACCCATTTTGCTCGATTTAACTCCACGAATTATTCGCACCGGAATAATTGCTTCGATGTTTCGACGACGGGTAATTTCGCGTTCTCCGTATCCATCGGTTTCCTCAGGAGAAATTTCATGATGTTAATTTACCGGAAACAGAAACAGTGCCTTCTTTAACACCTTGATACTTCCAAGCAAGGTACAATGGATGCATTACTTTCGGGTATTTGTGTCTCAATTAGTCACGCGTTTATTCGGGATTAGCGTCCTAAAGTTAGGAAAGGGACTGACATTTATAAATCCCTTTCCATTGTTTTCTCTTTAACTTTTCAACATCTACAAACTAACATTCTTTAATGAAAATTAATTTGAAAGATGATCGAGGCTGGGAAAAATATGTAATTTAAACTTGTAGAGATTACAGAGCCCAGAGTAGAAAATATTAAATCAATGTTATCCAAAGTAGTACAATATACAGGGTGATTGGTCGCCCCTGGGAAAAATTTTATTGGAAAATTCTAGAGGCTAAAATAAGATGAAAATCAACACAGTATATTTTCGGTAAAGAATTTTTTTCTCGAAAGTATGTAGGATTTCGGGGGTACATGTATTCACCAAAAATGATTGTAATTGACCCCCTCAACTGAAAATAATTTTTCCAAAACGATTTGAAATCTTTTTTTCCGCCGAAAAATTTCACACCTTCCCGAATTTTTTTCTAGAAAGTGGGTAGGATTTCAGGTGTATGTGTATTCACAAAAAATGATTGTAATTGACCCCCACAACTAAAAATAATTTTTCCAAAACGATTTGAAATTTTTTTTTCTGTCGAAAAATTTTACACCTTCCCGAATTTTTTTCTAGAAAGTGGGTAGGATTTCGGGGGTATGTCTATTCATAAAAAATGATTACAATTGACCCCCAAAGATAAAAATAATTTTTCCAGAACGATTTGAAATTTTTCTTTTTCGTCGAAAAATTTAGGCACTTACCCCCTGTTGACTTTTCTTAAAACTTCGTTTTAGATTTTTAGTAATTTTGTTTGACGTCCTATAGAAAAATTGTCGAATACTTTTTTGTAGGTACCCATGAGCCCTATTTCAGAAAAATGTTTCATTGAAATATATTCACTATTGTAGAAGTTATGGTCGCTTGAATATTGGACCATCTTTATGGGGTTTCTCTCACTTTACGGGGTTAAGGATCAACTTTTCGAACATTTTTAGAATTGCTACATATTCTTCATCAAAATACGTGCCGTTTGCATTTTGAAACATTAAAATCGTCGAATCCGTTCAGAAGTTATGACATTTTAAAGATTCGCATGAAATTTCAGTGAAACATGTCAATGGTATGGTCAGACATTATATTTTCAGTAATGAATTTTTTTCTCGAAAATGGTTAGGATTTCGGGGGTACGTCTATTGACCAAATATGATTGTAATTGACCGCTGCAACTAAAAAGAATTTTTCCAGAACGATTTGAAATTTTTTAATTTTGTCGAATTTGTTCACCCTCCTGAATTTTTTTCTCGAAACTGGGTAGGATTTTGTGAGTATGTCTATTGACTAAAAATGATTGTAATTGACCCTCGCAACCGGAAATAATTTTTCCGTGAATGATTTGAAATGTTTAATTTAATTTTGTAATAACTTTTTAACGAAGCCTCAATCAACAAATTGATATTCTTGATTTTCGTCTTATTTTTGCCTCTAGAATCTCCCATTAACATTTTTTCCAGGGGTGGTCGAGCACCCTGTATAATGAGGTTGAGGACGCGAAAGAATGAGAAATTGAATAGCCAAGGAATATATTATTTTTATATAATTTCGAACACGCCGCTCATCTCGTTCAGCAAATGCCATCGAAATTTCAGCCGGCGATAATTATGCAAAATAATTGCAGCCCCGGCGTTGTTCGTAATTCAACCTCGAAACGCAATACGTTCTCGAACGCACACGAATTAGGGCGTTAAGTGGCTAAGATTACAGTTTCCGCGAATAAAGGGAGAACGAATTTGCAACTGTCTCAAGCTTTCTCTCGTATAATTTAGCGGTGCCCGGCTCTTTGCAATCTCCACAAACGAAGCGACGTGATAATAAAGAATCGTGACGCTGCGAAACTTTTCGCACCGCCTCTTCTTGATGTATTTCGCGCAACCGTTGTTTTCGTCTATTTTTCCACCGGACGGTTAGTTTGTTCTGAAATGTTCGTCAAGCTCGTCGACGAAAGTTTGGATTTCTTAACGGATTAACCGGAACGGGACACGATCCAGCACTTCGTCAAGATAAGGATTTATGGAATCAGCGAAGCATCTTCTTCGCAAATCCGCGACAAGCAAAATACACCTTCGAGTTAAAGCTCGTCGACTTTGGATTCTTTTTGCCGGTATTTTTGTATCGATTTATTGCTCTTACGCGCGCGACAATATACCTTATGAGGGAGAATAAATCCCTCGTGGCAGAGATGAGGGAATTAAATAAACAGCTAGAGTTAAAAAAAATTGAAGCTTCGGTATCTCCACTTTATTTCGTTCTACGCGCTTTCTGCCATCCATATTTCGCATCTACGCTTTGTATTCTTTATTTTCTAATCTCTGTTTTTCAGCTCTCAATTTCTATTTCCTACCCTTTGCTCTTCAGCCCCTGCTCTCTGTACGCCCCTAATTAGAGATAGTATCACGAGAGTGACAAATCTGCAGAAATGAAAAAAATAACAAGAAAAATGTAAAGGATCCAGCGAGATGGAAAATCTAATGGACCGTGTCGCGTGTTTGACACCCTTGCTTTATTTTCTACATTCTACTTTGTATTCTCTATGCTCGTTTGAGCGATTGTTTTCACACTGCCACTGACATTCAAAGCGAAATCGCTAGTTATTTCATGTGCACCAGACAATCGCCATTAGAACTTCTCGACAAAACGAAACAGTTTGGAATTTCTTAGAAATTTAGAGATCAAACGCTGTCCAACAACAGACCACTGAATTTAGCTGTTATTTCACGGTAAATCGAAAGCTGACAGCACTTAGCAAATTAAATTTCAAGCACCATTGGCGGCTAATTGCTTCCGGAAATTATTAAATAGATTTTAATGGCAGGTCTTTGTCGATAGTTTCGCGGATTTATTCGTGCTTGACGCTTAGAAATCGTCTCGTCTCCGCGATTAATATTGCAATTAATGGAATCATATTTTATGATTTTATCCAGAAATCGGTACTAGAATTCATTCGATTCTTCACTTTTTTATTGGTTTTCTTGCAAGACGAGGATCCTTTCTTCGTTTGGATTTTGTTGATTTCAGAACTACTTGCATTAAATTTTTTTTGATCAAACGAGAACCAGAGAAAAACTAGAAAATTTCGTCGGACAAGGACGTTCGTATTTTCCATATAGATTAACATATTTTTACGAAAATTTACGAAAGTACTCTTCGAAGTTCGTACGTTTAATACACATGTATGAAAACCGACAAATATGCATGTATTTCTAGCACATTGCTCTGACTATCCAACGAGAGCCAAACACAGAAAAAGGGAAAATGTAACTTTTCTTGGTTAACGGAATTATTAATAAAGATCCTCGAAACGAGTGGATATCCTTTTTCTCTCCTCGTGTCCAAGGATAAATTATCGTCCAGCGTCGACGAACGAGCTGTCGACCTACGCGCCGCAACTTTGTCAGGATCAGGATTTACAGGGACGTCGAGTTGCACGCGTTTACGTCTTTTGTGCATATCGGACCGCCGCGAAAGCGTCTGAGAATTTCATTCGTGTTCCGCTCGCGCGAAAGGCAGGAATTCGTTTGTTTCTTCGGATCGAGGACGTCAGCTCCTCGGGCGTAGCTTCCAGTCAGGATTAAATCCGCGATGGCGAGGGGATCGATACGGGAAAAAGTAGATGCAAATTTTATGGATGCCGAAAGCGAGAAGCACGTGGGCATCGATAAAAATTTTTGTTTTATCTTGAAATCAGGAATCGTTCGAAAGAATATTTTTAAATTCGCTGCTCCGACGATTAATCGAAAGAACAGTTTGAAAAGGGTTCGACGTAGATTAATGACAAAGAGGAGAGTTTTTCCCCTTTATTGGAAGTAGATACATACGGATGTGCAGCAGCTGGAAAGTACGCCAGGTCACATTTTATCGACGATTACTACCCTAAATTGTTGAATTATGAGGGCTATCCGGGCTCTGCAGTTATTGGCAGTTTTTAATTGATTTTAACTAAAAATTGGATCCGCAGTGTTATTAACTTCCCAGTCGCGTACTCGATGAAATTTTTTCCAATCCAACGTTTTATTCGACCA